ATAATAATTCTACCCTACACACATATTTCCTCATCCCAAAGTTTAATGGAGTATAATTTTTTTGCCACATAAATTTTCCTTCGTTTTTATGATGACTGTCAACCCTAGATACAGTGACAACCACTCCTTAGAGACCTGATAACTACAGGAGGAAAGTGAGAGGTGCAAGGTTAGGCCACCCTGGCCAGGGCACAGTTGTTTTTCTAAGCCTCTACCAGTTCAGCTGGAGGAAGCAATAATGCTGTTTGCTGGACCTCCCTATTTCCTAGTCCTTTATCCACAGATAAACCGGGGACAGCTTCTGATTTGCCCTTTCTACCTTGTCCTTTTACTAGCTACGTGAGGACGCTTCTTAAGTAAATATGGCAAATAATTTCCAAAATCTGAATGTATGCAAGGGCAGAGTATATAAAATGAGTTCTGTCTCTCTCTCTTTCTCTCTCTCTCTCCTCCTCCCACCCCTCCCCACAGGGTTTTTTAATTTTTTTTATTTTTAGGATTTTATTTGTCAGAGCGCGCCTGCACAAGCAGGGGGAGTGGGAGAGGGAGAAGCAGACTCCCCGCTGAGCAGGGAGCCTGATGTGGATCGATCGCAGGACCCTGGGGCAGATGCTTAACCAACTGAGCCACCCAGGCATCCCTCCCCACAGGCGTTTTTTAAAAGATGTTGCTAAACATTGACCTGCTTAGGGGGTCAGGCAGTAAGATGGAATATAAGATTTTCTGAATGCCTACCATGTGCCAGACATTACACTAGGGCCTTTACATATGACATCTAATTTATTCCCTCAGCACAATCCTGCAAGGGGCATACAATTATCCCCAACCTCTAGATGAGGAACTGAGGTGAGATCAAGGCTCGGAGAGGATAAGGGACCAGCTCAAGGGCACGTGACTAATAAGTGGCAGAGGAAGACATGGAGCATTTATCAGAAACATGACAACCATTTTCATTCTCTCTTTGCCCCTGTAAGCAGTTTCCTAAGCATTAGACCAATTTGTGTGTCTTGAGCCAACAACTTCTGAATTAGAAAGTTAGTGTTCATGATGGATTTCTGCAGCAGCCTGAAGTTATTGGGATCTCAGCAGCTTTTCCTCTCATTAGAGAGGTGAGGACCTGCACACCAGAGACGGGCTGACGTCAGAGGAAGAGCAGCATCTGTGCCTAGCCGTGCCCCCCATTAGTAACCAGATGTGATCTCGCCCCCCTTCCTCATTTTACCCCTTTATGGCACTTAACACTGCTCTGCTTTGATAAAAATACATGTATTCATCTTACTCTAAACCCCTGTTGGGCACGACTGCTGCCAGGTAGGATTCCACTGACTGGGTGTAATAGCCCCCGCATCCAAACACCAGACAAAGCTAGAGTGGGAAGAGGTCACCCAGTCTAACTTCCTAATGCTACTAATGGTGAGAGTGAAGCCTAGCATGCATACATAACTTGGTCAAAGTCACAGAATTGAGACCAGAGCCCTGGTTTTCTTAGTTCCTTAGTATTCCATTATACCACACTATCTCCCTTGTCTTTAAGGAGAAGTACAATGTGAATGGAATGTGGCTTTAAGAAAAAAGCTATTGGGGCACCTGGGTGGTTTAGTCCGTTAAGCGTCTGACTCTTGATTTCGGCTCAGGTCATGATCTCAGGGCCGTGAGATCGAGCCCCATGTCGGGCTCCACACTGGAGCCCACTTAAGATTTTCTCTCTTCTTCTGCCCTTCCCAACCCCTGCTCTCTCTCTCTCTCAAAAAAAAGAAAAAAAGCTATCTGTGTAGCTGTGTAGGCAGCTCATGGTCCTGCAAAGACTGCAGTGGGGACAGAATAGCAATAGTACAGGAAATAAATAGCAATTATTGAACTAGGTTGGTGGCAGCAGAAATGGAAAAAGGGAGGCAAATGCAAGAAACACCATGATATGGACTTGCTAGGACTCATAACTGATTTGGGGGAATAAGTTCATGGGGTGACAAAAGGAAAGTTGAAGTTGAAGTGAGAGCAAGTGTGGTGTAGTGGTTAAGCCAGGTCTGGTTTCAAATCCCACATCCTATGTGTTTATTTTATGACCCTCTGTTCATTCAATAAATATTGAACACCAGTATGAGCCAGGCATTGTTCTAGGCACTTGGGCTATATCAGAGAATACAACTGACAAAGATCCTGGAACTTATATTCTAGTTATGACTTAACCTTGCTAAACTTTCGTTTCCTCAGACATAAAGTAGATAGTATCCATTCATATGGTTGTTGTGAGGATTAAGTACTCAACAAACATTAGAGATCATTATGGCCAAGTTTTGAGTCTGGATAACGATGATAAAAGTGATATTAAAGAAACTGTGAAATTGGAAGCATAAAATGGTTTGGAAGCAGGATTCAGCGTGAGCATTTCAAATTACAGTCCTTAATCACTGCAGCTTCTGGTAACATATGTGACCCAGGATGGCTACAGAGTTTGATCTGTATGTGTACCAAATTTAAATGTGCCTATACGCCCTGATGTTCTTTAAATAAAAGAAGTTGATATTGTACCCCCAAATCCCAGATTCTTGAGTTTGACCTGTGCTACGTAGGAGTCAGAGGCCTCTGGTAGAAGGACACTCACTCTGTGCTTCTGGGTCTGGGCTCTGTCTTGATATGCAAGAGCCCTGGGGGAATTGGAAGTGAGGTGGTGTGTGGCTGGTCATGGGGCAAAGACTAACATCCAACCATTCTCTGAAAAGAACCATGGAACTCTACTGTCAGAGCTTAAGACTACACAACAAGCAATCTCCAAGGGGGCAGAGGAAAGTGCAGTTCAAAACTCCAGGCTGAAAAAAGACCACCGAACAGAAAACCAACACTGTTTGATGGCTGCATGTGGGTCATCAGGAGAGAGAGATTTGGGGGGTGTCCACCAACTCTGTATGGGTGCAGATGGGAAAGGAACCTAAACAGCCAACAGGGTCTAAGAACACCCAGATTACCAAGAGCTACACATCTAGCCACTAGGGGTTCTCAAAGTGTGATCCCCAGACCAGCAGCATCACTGTCACCTGCGAACTTGTTAAAATGCAGATTCTTAGGTCCCATTCCAGACTTACTCCCAGAATCTCCGGGGGTGCAGCCCAGCAATCTTTGTTTTCACAAGCATCCAGATGATTCTCTGATATTAAAGTCTGACAGCTACGGAGACGCACTGTTGAGCTCTGAGATATCTTCCTAGCTGGGTGTCTCCAGCCTCCATTGCCCGCCTTCCAAAATTTATTTCCCTTGATTGCCTCTGTGTTTACATATTTCCAGGTTTTGTTTTGTTTTGTTTTGTTTTTTCTATACAGGACTCTATGAGGTGGAGAAATGATAAATAGTAGGTCCCATTGGGACTCGAGTCAGTGAAGACCCTGAACTTTATCCTCTCACTCAAAATCTGACAAGAAGATTACATACAGATACTTATCCTTGTAGAATTTTCCACTTATTTTCATGTTCATTAGTAAGCTACTTCTGATTTTTTTAGTCTTCTCTGTAGGACTGTGAACAGGATCAAACTGGGCCTTAAACCCAAGGTGAATTAAAGGAATAATGGATAATAAAGATAAAAATAGCAGCTATCATTGAACACTCACTACATCATAGGCACTGTGCTGCATTTTACAGACTTACTTAACTTAATCCTCTAACCACCCTACATTAAACTCTTTTCTTAAAATTTATTTTTTTTTAGTAATCTCTACACCCAATGTGGGGCTCAAACTCACTGAGTCGCATGCTCTTCCAACTGAGCCAGCTAGGCGCCCCTACATTAAACTCTTATTAACACATTATATATTTGAGAACATTGAGGCTCAGACAGGTTAAGTATCTTGTCTAAGGTCAAATACCATGATGTGGCATATCTGTAGGGTGACCCCAAGCAATCTGACTCCAGAACCAAAGTTTTGGTCACTATGCCATTGGTCTATAACATTTGAATCACCAGGGAGCATTCCAAAAATATTCATGCTGGGTCCCACCAGAGAGGCTAATTTAATTGGTCTGGGTGGGGGCCCAGGCAGGGATACCTTCTAAAAGCATCTAGGCGATTCCGCCATAGGCAGGTTGAAAACCCCAATATATAACACAGTCTCCATGTCTCCATGCTTAACTACAGTACACTACCCAAGATCAGCTGCTAGTAAGTAGTGGAGCTGGGTTCTGAATTCAAATCTGTATGGGCTCAGAGTTTGGTTCAATCATCACAATCACCTTAACCACTATGTCTACCATTTCCACTCCAACAGCACTTTACATTTGAAGATTTACAACTTATACAGCATATTGGAAGGCATAGAAAAATAAAATTTCTCCAGTCAGCATATCTAATAAAAGATGCTACTTTCAAAAAATATTTTTATGAGTTCTTAAATCATCTAAGGTTATCATCATCATCTTCTTCAACGTCTTTTAAAGGTTTGGCTTCTAGAAAGTATTCCAAGTATAATGGCAAAACACCCAGCTTTCCTATGAGTTTATAAATTGAAGTGGTTCTTTGGGATAAACAAAAAATCTTTTCATCTAAAAATTTAATTGAGACCAATTCAGTGCCCTGAGAATTAGTTCCAATGTTTGGCTCAGGTTTCTGGCACTGAGCACTGGGCCCTGGCCTCAAGCCTGCACTGGGTCACCTTACAGCTGCACCTCGGGGCTATCTGCCAAGAAGCTGGTCTCATGGTAGCACTACGCTATGGCTTAACACCAGAACATTGAGCCTTGATACCCAACCCGGCTGAAAGCAATTCACATGACTGCAACTCTGTTTAGCAAACAACCTACAGGAGTCATTCGTGTAGCATTGTAGCACCCTCTGACATTTCTGGGACAAAAGAGGACTAATTTTCAGTAGTTTGTCTAGGGGCAGGGAAGGGTGTTTCTCAAAGTTTAATTTATAACCAGAAAGTTGTGGATTGCTGTAACCATCACATAAAAGGGAAAACGTCTGTCACTTCCATTTGTAGCCAAGTTTGTAGCAGCTTTTTCAAAAAGGGAGAAGTTGAGGGACCAGCTATCCTGGTTCAGGGGCAAGAGAGATCAGGATTTGAAATCTGGTCTCCCCACTAACCAGGTGGGTTTAGGCAGAGAACTTAATTTCGTTGTGCCTCAGTTTCCTCACCTATAAAAGAAGGTCTGGGCTCACTAAATGAGTTCTAAATATCAGTCCTAAAGTTGTATTATATGTATGAGTATATATTTATAGTTTTTCTAATTTGGTGTAACCACTTGAAACATCCCCTTACTAGAGCAAATCTGAATTTCTAAAAACCCGGGGTTGACATTAAGGATGGAATTCGAGAACCAGAAATTATAGATTTTTAGCTGTACGAGGCTATTTAGATAATGTACTCCAACTTGCTCCTTTTATCTTCGTCCTCTCTGTCTTCTCTTTCCTCTCTTCTTTTTTTAAAACTCAAGAAATATTTTCTGAGGTCTGCTGTTGCACCAGGCACTGAACCAAGTGCTGGGAACCAAGTGCTGGGAACCAAGGCTGAGTCCTTAGTCTTAAAGAATTTCCAGTACTGTAGGCACAAGTAAGCAGGTTATTAACACACAACGAAGAAAGTGCTACCATAGAGGTGAGCAGAGGGTACAAAGGCAGACAGAGGCTTAGTTAGTCTCAGGGTAGGGAAGGGGTGGGAGTCGGGCCAGGGTTCCTGGAGAAATGACATCAGACCTAAGGCCAGGAGAAGGGGCACCTTTCTAGGCAGAAAAGCAGCATAGGACTTTAAATACCAGAGGGGGAGCTCTGAAATGGTGGGGAGGATTGCCCAAGGGCATGCAACTGGCCAGTGGCAGAGCTGGGGCTCAAGGCCCTAACCTCCAAATTAAAGGCTTGGTTGAATGTCAATGACATGAATTACTAGTCTTTGTGTTTGGCTTTTGGCAAAGGTGAAACATTACAGGGCCTGTGCCAACTCAGTTAGGACTCAGGGCTCTTCCTGGGCTTTCTAGGCTTAGGACCTCCCCTGTCTGGCTCCAGTGTCTTCAGCAGTAACTCATCAACACAACCACAGCACAGGCCCATCAACTGAGAAGCACCAGCACCGATCTGCTTTAGGGATGAGGCTCTTTCAGCTGCTGAGTGGTGTGGATGGATACAGCTTCTGCTATGACGGGTTTAGGAGACAAGTCTTGGTTAGTGATGGCTCAGTTAAAGAACAGTTACAAGTCACGGTGATGGTCTTCAGATATTTGAAGGGTGGTAGCAGGATTAGATCTATGCTGTGTGGGGTGAAGGGGAAGAATCAGATTCAAATGAATGTATAGGTACAGATTAAGTATATTTCCCTAAGTAAGAACTTGAGGTTGGATGCACTCCGAAGTAATGGCTATCTCTACACCTACAGTATTTAAAACAAGGGCAGAATGACCACTTCACTGGGATGTTACAAAGGGGATGTAGGATTTTATTTATAGAGGTCTAATCAAATCCTTCCAGCTCAGAGTTTCTGTATTTTCACAGTTGGCCCTCGCCAACTGAGGTTTAATTGTTCTAGCTTCTTATCTATTCTTCACAAAGTATTTACTCTCAGTTTTAGTTAATTAACATTTGCAAGCACATTCTTTTTACATTTCTAAGCAAAGAAACACTTATTGTGGGCGCCTGGGTGGCTCAGATGGTTAAGCGTCTGCCTTCGGCTCAGGTCATGATCTCAGGGTCCTGGGATCGAGTCCCGCATCGGGCTCCCTGCTCCTTGGGAGCCTGCTTCTCCCTCTGCCTCTCTCTCATGAATAAATAAATAAAATAAAAAAAAAGAAACACTTATTGTGTGCTGTGATATTTAAGATTTAGCCGGGGTCCACCGCCCCTCCCCCCCCGCCCCGGCATAAAGCAGTAATATATTTACTGCTAGGTAGAAACTGCTCTATTTATGTGAGAAACGGGGCTTTGGGCCTGTTCTGGCACATACCACACCGACCTACCCGGTCTGGTGCACAGTACTGCCCTATTGTAGGTATACTTTGCCGGTGTACTTATATGCTAGGGTCCACCCCCTTACATACCCAAAGGAAACTTTATAAAGTCTTCCTTTCCTTTCTTCCACCTTTGTTTTTCTTTGCGGAAACTGTGCCACTGCTCCATTAGTTATGGAGAGAGAAGGGAGAGTATAGTCAGTGAAAACTGAAGATATTACTGGCAGTTCTGACAGGTGCAATTTAGATTCTGTTAACCCCGAATTACTTTCAAGAGCAGTGGTAAAAGATGATTTATATTGTTTTCCAAGGCAGACTACTCTATTGCTAACATAGTAAAGTAAAACATATAATTTGTTTTTACCTGCTTTCTATGCTTGGTGTGTGTAATGTGTTATAAATCAACTATATTAAAAATATTTTGTTTTAACTTAGTATTTGGATCAGGTATTACCCGAGGTCTAAAATTAGTATGTTTTAAAACAACATAATAGCTTTTTCAAAAAGAGAAAAAGGAAGGCAAGCCCATTTTCTAAGTGTTCGAAATCAAACAACATTAAAAGGACCAGCCAAAATGAGTTGGCTCTTCCCTATAAGCCGGGGAACAGAAATGACTTTAACATATTCTGCAAAGGAACTTGTCCTGCACTAGCTCCCATAGTCTACCTTAGAGAGAAGCTTCGGCTCAACTATACATGGAAAAAACAGAAGTTCCGTAGCTGCCGGTTAGATCAGTTTATTATGCCCTGAGAGAAATGCTGGCAGGGGCTGAGAGGTCCCTAAGCACTCCGTGCAAAGTTACAGGGAACGGCCTCTGGTGTAGCTGTTTCCTATGCATGGGATGAATAAATCATTTTTCCCAAGGTAATCCTGCGGAGGGCCTCTCCTCAAAGAGTCATCATCATCTGGCCTCTGCATGCAAATGTAAAATTATAGCTTTACATACACTGATATGGCAGCACATGGGAAAGAACTCCACCAAAAATGACAAGCAGAACTTGCAAGGGCTGCAGCAAGCACCGATAGACTTTGTTTTTTCCCTCCAGTTGTTCTTCATATGACAAAAATGTTTTGATTAGTGATTTCTTTTACCATCAAGAATGATAAAAGCAAGGGGACACCAGGCCAAATCCCCTGAAATCAGTGGAGGGAGAGAGCCAGAACTCAGGTGGGGCACTGGGCAGAAGAGGGCCGTGGGCCATTTTGAAAGGATGAAAAGGACAGCTGGGAGCAGAGGACGGGACAGTCTGCAAAGCAGGGGAGCAGGTGACCCAGAAGATTCTACAGCTGCTTGCTGCAGCTGCTCTCATAGTCTCCTCTGCTTCAGGAGAGAGGCAAATGTGTTTAGAAATGAAAGGCAAGAGGGCATAGGAAAAATGTACCTTCCATTGCTAACCAACTGGAATATATTCTTCACAACGCGCACTCTGTTCTGCGCTATGAGGTAGTTATTTTCAGGATTCAGATATAGGCAAAATATTAACCAGCAAACTCTGTGCTTCTTAGTGCAAGCACAATTGGGTACACGCAAATTACGCTGCAATTTCTAAGGACAAACTTGTAGTTGGAGCCTTGAACATTAGAAATGGTAGCAGTTTTGTAATATGATAGTTTATGGCCTTGCGCAGCTGTTTCTGAACTCATAAAATGCTTTGTCACATGTAACCTTAATTTTTATATGCTTTAGGGCACAAAATGGCCTTAAGCCATTATTTCTTGTTTTAAACTCAAATAAGGGTGGTTGATCCCCCTACTCTGAGATGATTTCCAAGAACTCTGGACCCTTTGGACTATCTGAAGGACTGGCTGTGGTTGACTTGAAATCCTATCCTCAGGAAATAAACACACAGTTGTGGACAGAGAGGTCAGGGGCAGGCCAACTCCATCCATCCCCATGTTTTCTTCAGGATCCACAGGCCTCCTAAACGACAGGGTTTTCACCTTCTTGACAGCAGAACTCACAATCACAAAAAGACATTCCTCAAAAATGTCAGGGACGGAGAGAAGTCACAAAAGAGGAGGAAGAGAGTTAATAGTAACTGCTTAGTTACTGGGCTGTTTTACAGATTAAAAAATAAAAGTCCCATAAAGTTTAGTAATTAAAGTCACACAAGAGGGTCAGAAGTCAAATAAAGGTCTGTGAACACCAAAACTTCTTTCTACTACTGCAAGATGGCCTGAGGGGTGGCGGGGGGAGGGAGGGCCTCAAAATTCTATAGAGCTCTTCCCTCATAGGGTTTATGACATGCAGACAGAGAGTGAGTATGTCACTGATTCCAGAAGGCGAAGCCATTTCTCAGGTTATCTGCCCTCGCAGGCAGGGTGCTCTCCTCCCAACCCCAGTCAGTCAGGCACTTAGAACTACGAAAGCTTACTCCAGGGTCTCTAGCCAGGCCTGAGTCTATGGAGGCCGAGGGCCAACAGCTGCCTGATTTCCCAGCTCAAGTAGGCCTGACGTGACTCAGGAATGGAGAGCGGTCCTCCGAGTCTGTTCTGGTCTGAGCAGCCTCAAAGAAAACAAACATGCTACTAAATGCAAAGCACTTAGTTCTGTTGAGATGGGTTCCTATAAACATGTTTAGAGAAATGAGGTAACTTCGATGAGCAGTTCAGCTAACAGAATAATAATGCTGATCTCCAGCATGAAGCCATAGTCCTAATCTGAGCCCCTGTCTGATCCTCAAGTCTGTCCCGTTACTCCCTCCCAACTCTGTCTGTTCCAGAGAGGATGTCTCTTCATTGTTCCCACATGCTTCCCTCATTCCTGCCTTCATGCCCCCAGCTGCTGTGGAATCTTCAGGCGAAAATGCCTTCACTACGCCCCACTCAGCAAATCCTATCTCTCAAGGTCCATATCAAACCCACCTTTTCTCCATTGAGTTTGCCTTGATAACTTCAGTCAGCAGTGGCCTCTACAATCCCATACAGTTACCACTGTATCTCCACTATTCATGTTCATATTTGATTATGTCCAACTTAGAATGTGACCGTAAGGGCTCTGTAAACTTGCATTAACTCATCTTTGGAAATCCTGCCAGTTGCCAAACTGTAAGCATCTGTTGACATACTAAAATGACTGGTAAAGCAAGCACCATAGCAGCGTTTCCTAACCTCAGATCTATTCTTTTTCTTACTTGGGTTTAAACCAGATGTGAGCTGAGGAATGCTGTCCTTTGAGATTCAACTAAATTGGCTCAAATCCCATTCCTTTGTGTGGTGGGAGCCCTACATTCCTTCCTGTTGGGGATTCTGGAAGGGGATGGGAGTAGTTTACAATTTCTTTTCCTAGTCACCTCTGGCTCCAAGTTCTTGCCTTCTGTGGACTTAGTTCAGTGGCTGGAACAAGTGTTTTGCTCTCTCTGAACCCAACATCTCCAGTTATGGAAATCAGCTCCTTTTTTTTGCTTCAGTAAAATGGGCTAAAGCAGGAACTATATCCCCTTAGGAGAAAAACCAGAAGTGAGGCATATGTGTCCTAGGTCTTCAGATATTGATACTTCATTGTACCTACTATTTGCTTTTGAAGATTTAGAAAAAAATACTTTGTATTAACTAACTCTTCATTACATAGAGTAGAATGCTAGAAAGAATTTTCTTAGCCATTTTCTAAGTGACTGTTTTATTACTTGTGCCATAACAAAAGAATAAATGAAAGCTGCTTCATTATTTTTCATATACGACAGCCTCGTAATCGCTAATTAAACATATACAGACTTTTGAAGTTAATTATAATTTTACCTCAGATAGAGATTACTGTGTTTTCTGTTTCTTTGTTCCAAATGGGATGCTTCTTGTTGAGAGGGGCAGTAGAATATAGTGGATGAGTACAGAGTCTGTACTGTGTGGATTCAAATCCTGTCCTACCACTTACTACCTATGTGACTCTGGACCCACTACTTAACCTCTCAGTAACAAATAGGGATAAGAATAGTACCTAGCTCATATGGATTAAATGAATGCATGCAATGTTTTACACAGTGTTGGACACACAGTCAACACTATAGAGGGGTTATTTTCTTTTTTATTCGGTATCACATGGTTTATGCTACAAATGCATCATTATGGGCTGAATTGTGTCTTCTCAAATTCATGTGTTGAAGCCCAACCCCTCAGGATCTCAAAATGTGACTGTGTTTGGAGATAGGGCCTTTAAAGAGGTAATTAAGTTAAAATGGGGTCATTAATCCAAAATGACTAGAGTCCTCATAAGAAATGCAGATAAGGACACAAACAACAGAGAGAGAGGGATGACCATGTGAGGACACAGAAAGAAGAAGGCCATCTGCAAGCCAAGGAGAGAGGCCTCAGAAGAAACCCAACCTGCCAACACCTTGATCTCAGACTTCCAGTCTCCGGAACTGTGAGAAAATAATCTTCTGTTGTTTAAGCCACTCAGTCTGTGGTATTTTGTTATGGGAGCCCTAACAAACTAATACATGCATCAAAAGTAAATTTGTTTAAAAAATATTAAATATGGTGAGAAACTAATGGTCATTACAATCGAAATTGGTAGGCTATCTCTAAGAGGTTTTGATTTTTGTGAGGCTGAAATATAGTGGTTAAGAGCACTGGACTCTATTCCTGGTTCTGCCACTTTCTGGCCACATACCTGTAGGCAAGAAATCTAGAGACATATGTAAGGACTATATGAGCTCCGGGACTTCATGGGCATGTAAGAGTAAATGAGAGAACGTGTAGCACAATGCCTGGCACATAAGAAATGCTAAGCTAGGAGTGCCTGGGTGGCTCAGTCGTTAAGCGTCTGCCTTCGGCTCGGGTCATGATCCCAGGGTCCTGGGATCGAGCCCCGCATCGGGCTCCCTGCTCAGCGGGAAGCCTGCTTCTCCCTCTCCCGCTCCCCCTGCTTGGGTTCCTGCTCTCACTGTGTCTCTCTCTGTCAAATAAACAAATAAAATCTTTTAAAAAAAAAAAAGAAAGAAATGCTAAGCTAATAAAACTCTATCTAGCTATCTATTTAAATTCTCTTAATAACGGTGGTAGGGGAACAGGGGAGACATTTTCTCAGGATCTGGCAATTTCTGCTTTGGGTGGGTGTGTGTGTGTGTATTTAAATCCGATAAGAAAGCTAAGAGGCCCTTAGAAATTAAGTGATTTCTCCAAGGTTATAGAGAGTAGGGTGGAGATGGGATTCATAGGAAGATATATCTGACTCCAAGACCCATTCTCTTCCCACTCTTATCAATTATCTTTCCCATTAATTTTCTACAACCTCTAGGTTCTAGTATGCTGTCCTCACCTAATACGTGCTTTCCAGTATATATATATATATATATATATGTTTTATTTGTGAGGGGTCATGGGGCCAGAGCAATAGGAAATTAGATATCATTCTCAAAGGCTCTTCTCATATATCAAAGAAAAACAAAAAAGAAAAAAATAAATAAAACCCAACCTGCAGGTAGGTACTCCTGCTACCAGTTCTAGCTTTGGTAACTCTACTGTGCTGTAATGGAGACAGCCAGCACATAATGGCCTCATAAGAACATGGCATAAGTGATTATATTCTCACATTGCAGTGTCCTGATTTGAACCAACAGACTATGATTTCTAAAGGATTAGAACTTGCACTGCTATTGGATCAACCCCAATGTCTAATTTTAGCACTGAACTTGCTCCAGCAGTACTTAGTCCTAGTTAAATAAGCAAAGTGTGTTCTCAGTCGCTAAATGATAGCTCTTCATTTCATTTTGTAACTTGCCCATACTGCAAGTCAGTAATCACACATCAGCTACCAATGGAGATATTTTTAAACACCCAAACAAGGTGTTTTTCCAACTAATTTCTCTAACAAAGAAACAGATAAAACAATAAGGTAATTTCTTGAATCATTTAGGTTTTACTAAATCACCTCCCAGAAAATATGTAATTCCATCATGTGAGCAGTTATTTACTGAGTTATATGTAAGCACATATTTACTTTACTTTTGTTAAAAATAGACTGGTTCTTAAAGAAGGTGATACCATGCCATTCAGGAGCAAGAGCAGGAGACTCTTGATCTCAGGGTTGTGAGTTCGAGTTCCATGATGGGTGTAGAGATTACTAAAAATAACTAAATAAACTTAAGAAAAAATAAAAATAAGAGCAGAAGACCAAAGCTAAGTGATGAGAATATTTTTCTACATAGAGCTAAAATGGTTAGTGTGAACTACTTTGCCCTAGGTAATATTTTTGCCACTTCATTAGTTTTATACTATGGCAGAAGCTTGCTTTGCATAATATTTTTTAAGTTTATTTATTTATCTAAGTAATCTCTACACCAAATGTGGGGCTTGAACTCACAACCCTGAGATCAAGAGTGGCATGCTCTTTGGACTGAGCCAACCAGGCATCCTGGTTTGCATAAAAATTTAGATACTTGGGTTTAAAATGCAAAACCCTTATTTTCAAAAACTCATTAATCCAGTAAAAATATTTTAAATGTTCACTACAAATCTGCAAGACAAATTGAATTGTTATTTTTAATAGAATGGAAGAACAAAAAACTGAAAATTGTTTTTAAAAAATCTAAAAGAATACAGATAAACTATAGTTTGAGGCAAACAAATATGGAAGCTTATTTTCCAAAAACATTGTATAGCTTGTAATTTTCTCTCTATATAAAACTTTGAATTCCATAAAAAATTTAGTTTAAATAACTAAAATGCTTTTCTCTTCTGGCTCTTTGCTTTTTTTTTTTTTTTTAAGATTTATTTATTTCACAGAGAGAGAGTGTGTGTGAGTGAGGCAAGGGGCAGAGGAAGAGGGAGAGAGGGAATCTCAAGCAGACTCCCTGCTGAGCGCAGAGCCCAGTGCAGGGCTCAATCTTATGACCCTGAGATCATGAGCTGAGCCCAAATCAAGAGTCAGATGCTTAACCAACTGAGCCACTCGGGCGCTCCGTGGTTCTTCACTCTTTTAATGTCAGTGTAAAAGCCTTGCCGTATAAATTGAAATATTTATACTGAAAAAAAAAATGGTTCCTTTTGCCTAATTTCATGAGTAGTAACTCTTTGGGAGGGCTCCAAAGTTATTACAGAGAATCTGAAAATCCTGGTGTTCTCCAAAAACAGACTGAGGTTTCAGAAAAAAGAACCTCATATATCACCTTACACCTATCAGAATGTCTAGAATCAAGAAGAAAAGAAATAAGTGTTGGCAGGGATGTGGAGAAAAAGGAACCTTCGTGCACTGCTGGTGGGAATGTAAATTGATGCAGCCACTGTGGAAAACAGTATGGAGGTTCCTCAAAATATTAAAAATAGAACTACCCAAGATCCAATAATTCCACTACTGGCTATTAACTCAAAGAAAATGAAAACACTAATTCAAAAAGAAACATGCATCCCTATGATTATGCAGCATTATTTATAAAAGCCAAGATATGGAAGTGACCCAAGTGTTGATAGATGAATGGATAACATATATGTTATATTATATATATAATGGAATATTACTCAGCCATAAAAAGGATGAGATCTTGTTTTTGAATTTGCAACAACATGGCTGGACCTAGAAGGTATTATCCTAAGTGAAATAAGTCAGACAGAGAAAAACAAATACGATATGATTTCACTTAAATGTGGAATGTAAAAAAACAAAACAAATAAACAAACAAAAAGCAGAATCAGACCCATAAATACAGAGAACAAACTGATGGTTGCCAAAGGGGAGAAGGTAGGGGAATGGGCAAAATGGGTGAAGGGGAGTGGGAGATACAGGCTTCCAATTATGGAAAGAGTAAGTCATGGGGATAAAAGGTACAGCCTAGGAGGGGCGCCTGGGTGGCTCAGTCGTTAAGCATCTGCCTTTGGCTGAGGTCATGATCCCAGGATCCTAGGATCGAGCCCCGCATCGGGCTCCCTGCTCGGCAGGGAGCCTGCTTCTCCCTCTCCTGCTCCCTCTCTCACTGTGTCTCTCTCTGTCAAATAAAATAAAATCTTAAAAAAAAAAGTACAGCCTAGGGAATATAGTCAATGGTACTGCAATAGCATTGTATGGTGACAGGTGGTAGCTGGACTTGTGGGGAGCTCAGCATAACATAAACTTGTTGAATCACTGTGTTGTATACCTGAAACTAATGTAACATTATGTGTCAGCTATACTTCAATTAAAAAAAAAAAAAGAACTTATTAGACCGGGGGAAGGGAGAAAGACCCTTCATTTTCAAAGAGGTTGGCAACCATTGCCCTGGCCTCCCTTTGACTTTCTTCCTCTGCCCCTTCAGGAATGGAGAAATAAGAAAAAGAGAGCAACTAGAAGTGGAGGTAAAGATGATGGTAAAGCACTGCCTGATACCATTTTTATCAAGCAGAAGATGTAGGATGGAGCAGCTAGAATCCGATTCCTTTTTGTTCTTTTCTAACTCAAATGCTGAGTTATGATGCCCTCAAAAAAAAGAGTAGAACCACTATATGGACAATGACTGCATTTCACTTGAATTTCTGTGATTTGGGATCCCTCAAAATGACTGAAAGGGCTGTGAGGGCTTCTAAATCAAGCAGGCTGTTAAATTACATAATTTCGTAAACTGAGACAATATCAAATTGAAAAAGAATCAGCAGAATTTCTAGTCAAGGTGGCACAGTAAATTCACGCTTCAATTCATCCTGTATGCTCTAAACACACAATAATGACAGATACAATAGAAAAAGAGAAAACCAAAAGGTCATTGCTGGGCTCAGAAAACAAGATAAACATCTTTGTGGACCAGAAATGCAACAGAAATGCAAAGCAGTGAGCTGGGCAAATGCTGCAGCCTATCAAGCTCCGAGTGTTAAAGCAGCTAGGGGCAAGTGGAAATCCAGCTCTGGTGGAATACTGGGGCTAAAATGCTCTACTCAAGATGGAGACCAAAACCAGCGATGTTACCAAAAGCCAGGACCTGGAGCAGACCAACCATCCTGGTTTTCCCTGGACTCTCCCTGTTTTAGCCCAGAAAATCCCAAATCCCAGGAAATCCCGTGGTTCTGGGCAAACAGCGATGATGGGTCACCCAACTTTCCCTCGCCCCATGGAAGGAAATGGAATAAACCTACTGCCAATATACTGGCTGGTTGCCAGTGGATTTATGGGAAGCAGTGGACCCAGAACAGGAAAGCAAAGGACGAAAGACAAACAATACTGCAGCAAATGAACTGAGATACCAGCTGGTTTAGACACTAGATGAGCCATATTAATGACATGGATCAGGAGCATTAATGGCCTCTCAAGTCATTTTACTATCTGGTTCTAGACTGGAGCGTGCAGTGGAGATAAGCTCAGGTGGAAATACTCATCAAGTTGGAGATGGGGTAGGAAAGGATAACAGAAATATCTCCCACTCAAAGTGATTGTGCAAGTCCAAATTCCAAAACATATAAGGTTAATGGTAAAAAAGACAGCTGGGCAATGATGGAGTAAGTGACACCGGACCAGTGTTCCTGCTCTAAAAAGTTATAAAAATAGATAAAATATATAAAACAACCATTTTCAGAAATTGAACAACAAGCACTAAGAGGCTGTAATCCCTGGGAGGAACAAAACAAATGAGTTCCTCAAGTGCCCCAGTTGTCTGCCTGGAGGCTCTCTGTGGATTGACAAACAGAAAGGCAGAACTCAAGCACAGCACAGTGGTTTTGCTGTGTTTAAGAGCAAATGGCTTGGGTCATGATCTGGGGGTCGTGGGGTAGAGCCCTGCATCAGGCTCCCTGCTCTGCCAGGAGTCTGCTTGGGATTCTCTCTTTCTCCCTCTGCCCCATCCCTTCCCTGTGTGTGTGCACTCTCTCTCTCAAATAAATAAATAAATAAATCTTAAAAAACAAAAAAAAGAGTGAGTGGAACTCAGGAAGGTAACTACAATTTGAGTAACAGGGTATCAGAGAGGAGAAAGATGTGCAGAGACAGAGCTCCAGAAATCTGTATAAGGGTCATCTTGAATGTTTGTTTGAATATTAAGATGCATAAGCATAGGGAGGACCCCTTAAAGCCAGGCAAAACAACTCCTGGGAGAGGAACAACTCTTGGGGAAAGAATTACTGGGGATCTGAGACTTGGGCAACGCTTTCACAAATGGAAGCATTTGAACTCTAACCAGGACAGAGTCCTCTTAAACATGGGGGGTGCTAGGAGACAACATTCTATGACGTGTCTCCATATCTTGTGACAACTTTTGTCCTTGACTATCTTTCCAAGGATGTTTGTATAGTCAGTAGCCTTTGGCAGGTATAGTGTTGCCTTCCAGGAGAAAGGGTAAATTTGTTTCCTGACCAAGATAATAAAAAATGCCTCCTTCCTGGGCAAAGTTGGGGCAGATTTGATAGCAGTTATCTTATAAAATGAGAGATTTTCTAAGTTCAGGATTCCTCAGCTATGATTCAGACTCACTGTGAGTGTAACATCCACTTGGATCCACTCTGCATTTGCCTCCATGAGGTTTGGGGGACAAGGGAAACCAATGAGAACATGGAGTTCATGCTGCCTGCGGCAAGTAATAAAGTCCTTCGTTCTCTGACCTAGGCGTCTCGTGTCTTCTGCCAGCATCTAGACATCCATCACAGGCTTGCCAGTAGGGTAAAATCTCAGATACTGAATAGCCCCTGACCTGACAGCAGGCATTTAATAGAGACCTCAGAAAGGCTGTCCAGCCCACAAGCTAAATCCACCCCATAGCCTGGTTTTGTGTAACTTTTGAGCAAAGAATTTTTTTTTTTTTACATTTTTAAAGGGATGTAAAAACAAAAACAAAAACAAAACCCAAGAATTTGTAAGAGACTGTATATAGCCTGTAGAGCCTAAAATACTTACAATCTGGCCCTTTAAAGAGAAATGTCATCTACTTCTACTACAGAACCATCTTAACAAAGCTTTAAAACATGACTTGAAAGGATCAAGCTGATGTGCAAGTAAATTAACTGCCTGATGAAACAACATGCTTGTGAAAAGAAGACAAAAAAATCTAGAAATTCAACAGCATGGTAAACACAGTGTCCAGCACCAATAAAAAATTATAAGACAGGCAAAGAAGCAAGGGAATGTAACTCATAAGCAGGATAAAATCAGTCAATAGAAGCAGACTCAGAATTGACAGAGATGGCAGAATTAATAGAAAAGGACTTTAAAATAGTTCTTATAAATATGGTTAAGGATGTAATGGAACGCATGAAATAATTTGGAAACAAATACAGTATCTCAATAGAGACAGTAAAAGAATTTTTAAAAAGTACTATTTATAACTTTTGGAGCTGAAAATACATTATCTAAAATCAAAATTTTAAATTTCAGTGGATGGGCTTAACAGCAGCAGATTATATGCTGCAGAAGATCAGTGAACCTGAAAGATGGGCAATGGGAATTTTACAACCTGAAGCACAGAGGAGAAATGTAAAAAAGGACAGAGCCTCACTGAGGGACAATATCAAGGAGTATGATTCAGAAGAGAGAAAGAGTATATGGCAGAAAAAAATATCTGAAGAAATAAAGGTTGAAATGTTCCCAAATTAGGTGAGAACTTTAATCTCACAGAAATTTCATTTCTCTGGGAACAAGAGAAAAGAAAGGTTAATGATTAGAATAGATGATAATCCCAGTTTCTGCGTTCTGAGGGTAGCCAGTTGAGATTCCTAGATGTCAGGCTTAAAGCATGTTCAAATGGAGTAAGGGCAGACGGTGGCGATTTGATTGATGGTCCTGGTTTGCAGTTTGCATGTCTCTGGTGATCTGCCTGAGTGGCCCACACAGCGACAGGCACGAAGATGGTACATACGTCAGCTGTTGTATTTCTCTTAAGTTTATATAAAGTTGTCCCACTTTAATTTGCATGGCTTTGGGGAAAGGGCAGTTCTCAATGATTCCAAGCCAGAAGGGCGGGAGAAAAAATGAAAATGTTACTTTGAAGAGCTGTAGCCAAGTATTGGAGGAAATGAGAAGAATTCAGGATCTAACAGAGAACAAAACCTCAAACACAATTAACAGAACTGGAATAGAACCTAATATCCACGAGTATGTATTTTTCTACGGAAATGTGATTTTTCTCTCTACAATCCCCATTTCTATCAAAGATAATCATAGTAAGGCCAATTTGTTTGCAAATTAAGTCTGGTTTCAACAAACTTGTCCTGATTATTTACATAAGTGCAACAAAAATAGTGATTGGCCAATTAGGTCCTAGGTTGGCTTTCCTGGAACTTTTCATAAGGAATCTCAAATTGAACTTTCAAAGCCTCTCAAGGATAGGAAGTCAAACCAAAGACTCATTATCAGATTTTGCCTGCAATACCTATTGATTTGGGTTAATTCCTCTCTTTTTGAGGTCCCCCCAAGTATCTTGAGGTTCCTGCACCTAGCAGGAAGTGACCTTCCTTACTCACCTTGCAAGGCTGCTGGGAACAGTACAAGCAAGGTATCAGGCCGATTTTTCCAAGGGGCTTTATTGGCTCCATAAAATCGACCTTAGTTCCTGAAAGCTGTCTTGTAATATCTGAGTCTATACATCTCTCTCTCAAATATGACAATACAGTCAAAGCCTTGGTGATACAACCAATGTTTCCAAGTATGTCCTGTTACAAAGAGAATAGATTCTCATTGAGCTTATGCAAATAACTATATTGCCACAAAAATAAGAATACTCACTAAGAGTTTCTGAATCCTGGAGAGATCAGGTAGGAGGAAAAAAAGTAGTTGTTCCATCTTTGTTCACAAAGATACTTTACCAAATTGCTGTAAGTTATAGCTAGCTAGCTAGCTAGCAAAAAAAAAAAAAAAAAAGTTTCCTTAAATCTAGAAAACAAAAGATTAAAGAACCAGCAATGTTTTGAACAAAAATCCTATAAAATTAGACTCATTCTCATTTAGTCCTATGTAATTAAATCTTGACCTTTCCATAGCAATTTCTATTTTAAAAGGCCAGTTTTTCCTTAGAGTCCTATAAATTCTTACCCTGTTCAGTGGTATGATCTGAAAATTATCAGAAACCTATACTTGTCAGAGTCCTTTCCATGAATCTCCTTGAAGATGGACCACTTTTGCAAAAGCATCAGAGAAAAACAGTAAGTGTCTGTAAATGACAAAAGACTTAAAAATGCCCATGTTTAAGATCTGATGAGAGTTCCTTATGTTACTAACAGAAATTTAATTATTTCTGTGACATAAATTTTAAGATAGTAACTAGAATTACAAGTGTTTTGAGAGAGAGAGAGAGAACAAATCTTTTGAGATGTTCCAGGGACTCTCTAAAAGTCTCAAGTTAGTATGAAATCAAAAATACTTCATTTAGAATTTGAATTTTATAAGATTTGTCAAAATATCAAAAAGGCTTGGATGCAATACTTAATTACCCATTTTAAGAGGCAAGATTTCAAAAGCAAATATAGAAGATTACATCGTTCTGGGCAAAACTTAGCTCTTTTAATAGAGAAGACTTGGTTTACATCATCAAAGACGTGATGAAGACAGACTGAAGCACAGTGGGTAGGACACAAAATCTTTGCTTTCCAAGCTGATGACTTAAAAGGTAAAGAAAAGCCTTTGTTTAGATTTCTTGTTAAGAGCAGACCAATAATCTAAGAAGACTGTCTTTTTGGCAGATGAGATAAAAATTAGTTTTACATAAGTGCGCTATTGGTATTAAAGCTTAATTTTAAAATCCTTGTAATAGGAATTCAATTTTTAGCCACCCTGACTACACAAGATTCCTTCTCTCTCTTTCCCTTCCATCTCTCTCCCTCTGGCCTTCTATGTCCACAGTTTGTCCTTCATTTTCTTCTTTCCCATTCTAAAATAACCAGCTTTATTTTAGAACAAAATCACTTTCATTTCCCTCAACAAAAATGCATTTCCATATCTCATGCCTTTTCTAACCAAAAAAGAAAAAAAAAAAGGAAAAAAACAAAATAAAACAAAACACTACACATCTGGGTGCCTGGGTGGCTCAGTCATCAAGCGTCTGCCTTCAGCTCAGGTCATGGTCCCAGGGTCCTGGGATCGAGTCCATGTCAGGCTCCCTGCTCAGTGGGAAGCCTGTTTCTCCCTCTCCCGCTCCCCCTGCTTATGTTCCCTCTCTCGCTGTCTCTCTATCAAAAAATAGATTAAATCTTTAAAAAATTTTAAAAACCCTACACATCCTACTTTTCTTACATACAGAATTGTTTTCTGTATAATTTCTAGTAGTTTTAATTATATATATTAGAATTCTTAACCCTTAGAAAACTTAATTTCTAGCGAAAACTAAGAAGTAGAAATTGTGAACTGTTACACAGCATTGTTTAGATTGGCAAATTTATGAATACATTTCATGATATCTAGAAACATACATTTCCTCATAGTATTTTTTTAATGTGGCACAACACATGTTTAGTAAGAGGCCCAAATATCTTTATTTCCTCTGTAGTAAAAGGTCAAATGTAGGTAAACTTAGACTTGTTTAGCAATTAATGTTTCAGTATTTTTATCTTATTTGGAAATGATGAAGACATTCAATGAATTCCCATCATTTAATTTAACTTAGCAAAATTCTAAGGATGGAAGTTACCAAAGGTCTGGGAAACTATTTTGGGGGCGGGGAGAGGGAGGGCGGACAGACTATTTTTAAGTAGACATAACATAATGATTGCTGAAAAGCTCACTTATCCTACTTACATCTATCGAAATTATTTGCTCCCAACAACTAGGCTTAGACCACCCATGAAAACTTCATTAGACTCTAGACGATGTCAGTCATCATACCAAGCTACTTTTCTTGCTGACAAATTTTGTAATAGATAACATGAATTTATTTGACTAGTAAACCCAGGTAGGATAAAAGCTGTTATCTGCATAATACTTAATGCTGACAACCCTGAAGACATACCTATTTCAATTAAACCAAACTGAAAGCAGCTTTTATTTACCAAAGATTATGCCAGATCACATGAACTCAAAAAACATTTGGGTTAGTTTCCATATTTTTGAGCTTTAGAAATAATTCGTAAGTGCTTATTTTTAAGCCAATTCAATAGAGTTCTTTTACTAATTAATTTTGGCAATTCCATCCAGAGTTAGAAGGAAAAAGAAAATCACATACATAACTTACATCCACAGACATACGTAAATATGCAGATGCAGATAGAGACCCTATAAGTTTCCATTTCAAAATTTTAGCCATGGGTCAGGTACAATATAAAATTCACTAGTTTATAAATAACAGTTGAATCCAAACTGCTTCTAACAGAGGAACAAGTTAAGGTTACCCACTCCAATGACTAAAGTTTTTTACTATTTGTGGAGACTTTTAAGATTTGTATTTGCCCTTGACAATCTTAGGAAGGCTGTGGACTAGAGTTTGGAAAAGAGAGTTTTCATAGCAATTTCTATTTTAAAAGGCCTCTTACTTCTGCCCCTTTTTTCCTTTGACCTCAGGCAGAGTTTTAGTTACCTCCTGGGGTGTTTACATTACCAAGACAAGGTAAGATTTACATCTTCAAGGGACAGAGAAAGAATGTAAGTTTTCTCCTAGGAGTTCCAGTGCCTTTTGGATGGCTTCAGCAGTCCCCACAAAATGTAGTAACACCACCCTGTAATTAGGGGGTGCCCTGTAAAAACAATTCTCAGGGTCAAGTGGGGCCTCTTCAGGTTAGAAATGAAGAAGGGGTATTTTGGGTCACTGTGGTCATGGAAATGATGAACCCATTGGACCATGACAATTTTGTGCAGCAGGAGATGGGCTTCCTCCGTGAACCTTAGCAGTGATCACTGTGATGGAAGGATGGGTACAGCGCCAGGTAGTGTATATCCAAGTGAGGAGAGGGAGGGCTTGGATATGAGTATCAGTGGCTCTAGGGGCCTTTGTCTTCCCAATTCCCGCTTCCTCCTCAGGAGAGCCCTCGATAACCCTGTCAGCTCTTCCCATGGGGGCAGGGATACCTCGTGAGGCATGCTGGTAGGGGAAAGCCGTTCAGTGGAAAGCCAAGGGGGCTCAGGATCTGTGGTATCTCGGAAGGAATGAGCATATAGCCCGGATGGATCTCTGAGAAAGTTACGGATTTTAGGGTCTTTAGATGCTGGCCAGTTAATGCATTTTGGCCACTGTGAGGAATTTAGAGCCTGTTCCAAACAAACAAGAAAATCCACAATAGCCAATTAGCTCTCTTCTCTCCTTCCTACTGCATAAAATTTTTAAGAAAGGTTTGAATTTCACTAGGTTTTTTATCTCAGTTTCTACTTGTTTTTCTCCTGTTACCTTAATCTTATGTGCTGTTACCAGAAAATGGGGGATGACATTACTGTCAGCCCTCTTCATAGGTGGCTGCTTTCTTTTCCAAGGTGTCCCAGGAGACTTCTCCAGGATGGGAGTCTGCCTTCAGTAGTGTGATATGCACAGGGTGGTTGGGAAAAGTCCCCAGGCCTCTGGGGCATAAACCAGAGTCTTGGCATGTTGGTGTACATGACATTGAATAATAACCAGGAAGCATCCATGGGCTTTTGCAGTTATCAAGGAGCTGGTGTGCCTCCTCAAGGTTCTTAGGAGGTGCTGGCACCAGATGTTTAGGACATTTATATCTGTTCATTAATTTTTTAGCAACACCACACCAAGCAATTAAGCCCACAATATCTCATTGGGTCAGGGGACAAAGAGCAACAGTAGTGAATGAAGTGGTGACACAGAGACGGTAGGCCTCTGATGTATTTTCCCTCTTGTGGTGACATTGGCTTCCATTTGCAAGGCTATTTCATTTTTCTGGGTTAGGACATGTAGTCTGGGCACAACCCACCGACTCGGTGGTAACAGGCAGAGGTCTCCCATCCTCTTCACCTACAGGAATCTTTTCCCTGTGCCTTTAGCCCAGTGCCCTCCTTGGGCAGTGACAACAGCCTTGCAATCTAATCCACCCTGCATAACTCTCCTTAGTGTGGAGGACCCTTATGCACATTAATAGTCCATTCAAGTCTTTATAACTAGCGGTCTCATCATCTTGTTGGCCTTAATCACACTGCTCTGGGGAGATTGTGGGATTATTATGGCAGGCCTGACCTTTTGCACTGGATACTGTAGGCAGTATGTGAAAGTGTATAGCGGCACGACAGACCCCCAGCTTGCGTGCTTCTTTCTCAGATGGTGTTACCCCCCTGACTTTGGTGGTTAGTAAGCACGTTGCAGGTAAAGGCATTTCCCGCGGTTAATTGCAAGGGCAATCATGCAAGGCCAGTTGTGTGTTGGTCTCAGCCTGTCAATCACCAGTGTTGCGGCTAGAGTGGTCCTTGTGGTTCTGATCATTGCAAGATGCCCTTCAGCAATAACTGTCAGGAAACGTTGAAAAAAAAAAATAAAGTTTTATTACTAAGAGGACCTGGAAACTACACGGCACACTGGGGGCCACACAGCAAGGTCATGGGTAGAAAGAGAAAGCACAGTGAGTGCAGGGACCTGGGGTTCTGCTTTTATTGGGGGTGAAGTTGGGAGTCTAAGGTTTCACCTCACTCTTTATTGGTGAGTTTAAAATGTAAAAGCAGGAATTTAAAGCCTAGGAAAAAACAAGTGGCCCAAATGGTCAGTTATCAAGATCAACCAAGATCTCTAAAACAAAGGAACCTCAACGGAGGGAGGCGGCCTGGCTCTGTATCTAGTCGTGTGGCTGGCAACGTGTCTGTTGGAAATAGCCGTCTTTGAAGTGAATGCCTCTTTGAAGCGGATGCAATCAAATCTTAAATCAGGCATTTGCATTATAAAAAACAAACAAACAACAAAAAAAGAAGAACAAAAAACAACTATCAGGGCTTACACTACACCCACATTATTTTCCAGTTACACTTCCATAAAGACAGATTCATTCTTTTAACAGATATTTATTGAGCATTTACTATGTTCAGGGAATATACCCATAATATGGGAAGGAGGTAAAAAGGGGGAAAAATCCCAACCACTCATGGATCTTACTTGGGGTGAGGGCAAAGAGACTGTAAACAACAATTAAGTGAAAACATAGTATTTCACCACATGAAGAGAAGTGAAAAATAAATAGAGCAGGGGAGGTAGGGGGAGTTATCATTTCCAAGAATGGGCAGGAAAGACCTTATTGAGAAGGTGATGTTAGAGGAAAGATCAAAGGAAGGAAGGGAACAATCTATGTGAGAATCTGGTACAAGTGGTATATAGCATTGTTGTGGCTGGTGCAGCAAGAGCCCAGGGGGAGAAGCAGGTGGAGTGCAAGTGATAAAGGGAGGAGGAGGGCCGGGAGGACCAAACAGGACCTTACAACACCTTTGTAAGGACTCCAGCTTTTATACTCCCTGAGGTGTGAAGCCTGGGGAGGGTTTTGAGCAAAGGAGTGATAAGATCTCCTTGGATTTCCGCAGAAGCATGCTGGCTGTTGAGATGAGTACAGACCAAAGGGGAGCAGAGGCTGAAAGAAGGTGGCCAGTTAGGAGGCTCCTACAAGAATCCAAGAGAGAGCTGATGACTGTTCCCACTTAAGTGGTAGTCCTTTAGATGAATGGGAGTGATCCAGGAGAGAGGGTGGGAATGATGACGCAGGGGAGAGGGGAGAGTTGCTGATTCACTATCCTTGAGCAGGGGAAGGGATGGGATCTGGTGCACAAGCCACAGAGAAGTGGAGCTGGGAAGGTCTCATTTGGAGCAAGAAACAGGAAGGCAGGCAGACAACATGGGCACAGATGCCGGTAGGTGACTGTGGACCCAGCGGTGTGGTCCGTGAAAGTTCTTTTCCGATTACTCCTACTTCTCAGGGAAAGAGGAAGCAAGGGTGATCAGGATAGTGGGGCAGGAGGTATTGGTGGCTAGATGAGGAGAAGGTATAAATCAGTGGATTAGGAGAGTAAGAAAATGAAGTTTGGATTTGCCGTGGTTGGTCTTTTCAACCCAACAGACATTTGGAACAGTTCTCTAAACATCTTGCTCCTAAATCTATGGACATGAAGAAGGCATCATTTTGAAGCCAAGTAATTATCAATGGCTATCCATCTTTATTATGCCTATTCTCTGGAGAGAGAGGGAAAATTCTGCCCTCTAGTAAGGGTAGACCTGCCTCAGAAATGCATAGCTCAATGTGAACGGAATGTTGGCAGATCTGTAGCTTTCTTGTACTTTCGCAGAAACTAGATTGCATTTGTTTGAATTCCTTCTTTATTACCAGACTCCTTTCAAAAGAGAATCAGCACATTATGAACGTAAATGCACTTATCATTGTATTTCCCATTTCCCCTAAAATTATAACTGAAGTAAACACTTCAAGGAGAAATTAATGTCATAGAGGGGAAAATACTTGTTTAAAGGGTTGGATGATTAGAAATTTTTTCAAAAAGGCTGTGAAACTCTCTAATGACCACCTGATATCGGAGGCTTAGAAAGAAATGAGTGGTGATTTTTTCACGGCCTGCAAATAGCATCTAATAATTCATCTCAAATAAATAAGGGTGTAAGTTGTATCATAAATATACTATGCATCAAAATTATAGATCTAGAAAACCTATGATAAGGTGAGAAGAAGACTAATTATCATTTCATATTTCTTCTATTGATGCAACTCAGAAAAAGAGAAAAGCAATCTTGGAGTTTCATGAGACATGAGCAGTGTGTTGATTCTCCTAAAACATCTTATTCTCCTAAAACTCTGTATTTGAAGGGGGGAAAAATCATACTTAAATTACATTATTGGACTACACTTACATGTATATATTTTTCCAGAATCTAAATCTTTTGTAACTGTCTCATCATCCCTAGTCCTTCCATTAGGGGATATTCCAAGACAGGGATTGCCCGCATCCCACAACATGGGGATCCAAAGGACATGTATCTTTATAACAGACATATTTTTAACAGGGAAATTATGAGTTTTCCTTTTGTGTGTGGAGGGGATAGCAGATTATTATTTTTAAAAATTAGGCCACTTCTTGGGGTGCCTGGGTGGCTCAGTAGTTGAGCATCTGCCTTCGCCCCAGGTCATGATCCCAGGGTCCTGGGATCGAGCCCCGCATCGGGCTCCGTGGGAGGCCTGCTTCTCCCTCTCCCACTCCCCCTGCTTGTGTTCCCTCTCTCATTCTCTCTGTCAAATAAATAAATAAAATCTTTAAAAAAAAATTAGGCCACTTCCTATAAATAATTACTGCTCATGTTGGGGAATGAGATGTTTAAAAAATCGTTGTGAATAGGGGCACCTGGGTGGCTCAGTCAGTTAAGTGTCTAACTCTTGGTTTCGGCTCAGGTCATGATCTCTGGGTCGTGAGATTGAGTTCCCAGTTGAGCCCCACGCTGAGCCTGTGTGGAGCCCACAATGAGCCCCATGCTCAGCCGGGAGTCTGCTTGAGATTCTCTCCCTCTGCCCCTCTCCACACCCGCCCCCCTTAAAATAAATAAATAAATAAATATTTTAAAAAGATCATTAGGAATATGCAAAGCCAACTGAAGAGTCAGTATACTCTACTTTTTGGTATGAATGAAGCAAAATCAATGAAACAAACTCACTGCTTGCTAGCAAACATTTAAGGTTCTAGAAATGCTGTTCCAACTATTCTTAAAGACAGAGGAAAGCAGTTATAATTCTTACACAGAACTATTTATTCTGCTTAGTCCAAGTTTTAGTTTTGAATGTCTTTAGGCAGTTTTTCACTCTTGGGCAAGGCCCATCCGGCCATTCTCAGGTAGGTTTGACTTTTTCCAGATGGGCAATTTAAAAAATATTGGTTGAAAATGAATAATACAAATGTTCAGATTAGATCCAACCCATGATCACATGGGCCGTTGGGTCTGTGCATGTAATGAAGGATAGGTTAAGAATGCATACCAAAGCAACCTGGATTCCTTTAATACTGTATTATAAATGGTAGAAACATTATGGCAGGAGGGCAGGGGGGAGACCCAGATTTTAACTAAAAAAAACTGTAAAGGGTTGTTTATGTTTTCAGCCTATACTACCTCTTGGAGTAACAAGAATTTTCGTAATTCACTGAAAAGCTTTATTATTTATCCTAAATTTGTCTTTTCATTCCCTCACAGAAAGGAAATGTAACTCCAATAAGAACAAATTTCAGTTGTGATGTCTCTGGTGTTAAAGATATTCTTTTTTTTTTTTTAAAGATTTATTTATTTATTTGAGAGAGCGAGAATGATAGAGAGAGAGTACATGAGAGGGGGGAGGGTTAGAGGGAGAAGCAGGCTCCCTGCTGAGCAGGGAGCCCGATGCAGGACTCGATCCAGGGACTCCAGGATCATGACCTGAGCCGAAGGCAGTCGCTTAACCAACTGAGCCACCCAGGCGCCCAAGATATTCTTGATAAATAAATTTAAAAAATAATCACTAAAATGAGCTTTTTGATTTATTCATAGATTTTAATCACCTCAGCACTTCTTGCCCCTCATTTGCACACATAATTGAAGGCTGATGGTGCTTCTGCCAAACTCCAGATTTCACTCTGCTGCCATCAACCATGTTCAAAGTTTCAAAGTTTCAAAGTTTCTCAGGTCTAAGCGTCTTTGCTTTCTGAAAAGTGTCTTTTGTGTGAGGGAGGAGGGGACAGCATGCCTTGCATTGCATTGATTACTTAAAAAACAGCTAATCTTAAAGCCTTATTTGCATCGTTAATACCAAACAGAAGCTATAAAACCTGGGGAAACTGAGAGCCGGCCCAGTAAGCCCTCATGTGTGGAGCTCATCTGATTCTTCTCAGGAAAATGGAGTCTGTGTTGGCCTCTGCCTCCATCAACCTGTGAGTCCTCCATCAACCTGCCTCCTGGGGTCCTCTGACAGACCACTGCTATCATCCTTAGCTTCTTCAGGGGAGGCTCCCCACTGCAGTCACTTAACTGTCATGTCAGTACCTATTCAGCATTTACAGATATGAAGTACTGAATCCATCTTTGTCAAATTGATAAATAATTTCGCAAGACAAGGGGTTCCAACTTGATGACCTCAAAATTTCCCACCTGGTCTAAAATTTTGATTTGTATTTGTCTCAACCTCTACCTATAGATTTTCAGAATTCCTACAAATGTTTATGTGTATATACAAAAGTTGCCAGTTTGGCCATTAATGGGGTATTAATCCTTTTCCTGCATTATATTGGTGATTTAAGACCCAGAGTGAAGTAAAATCCTGTTAATGGTTTTTCTAGATCAGTACTATCCAATAAAAATATAATACAAGCCAAAAAATGCAAACCACAAATGTGATTTAAAATTTTCTAGTAGCCACATTAAAATGGTAAAAAGAAACATGTGAAATTAATTTTAATGATATAGGTTCTTTAACATCATATGTTCAAAAAATCATTTCAACATATACTTAATATAATTGTTAAGATGTTTTACATTCTTTGTGTGTGTGTGTTAAGTCTTCAAAAGCCAGTGTGTATTTTACATTTGTACATCTCAATTCTGACTAGCCACATTCCAAATACTTAAGAGCCACATGTGGCTTAGTGGCTGCTTTCTTGACAGCAGTAGTTTTAGAGCCCTGATACTCAAAGTCCTCCGTGGACCAGGAGCGTTGGGATCATGTGGGAGCTTGTTAGAAATGCAAATTCTTGGAATGAGAATCTGCATCTCAACAAGCACTGCAGGTGATTTGTAAGGACTTTCAGAAGCACTATTCTAGAGGGTGGTATCCAAATTCTTTTTTCAGTGAAACTTAGTTTTGAATATTCTTATAATTTACACATTTCTAATTTGTATACATTTTTTATGAGTCGCTATGCTTCCAGGTCTCCCCATTTTAAAAAGTAACTTGTTTTTTTTTTCTAGTTATAATAGCATAACTTGTTTATACTGAAAAATTAGAAACTAGAAATAAGACAAAAGAAAACAAAAACCACTTGTCATCCCATCAACCAGAGATAACTATTATTAACATTTTGGGTGTTTACCCTTCCAGTATTTAAAATGTTGTTTATTTCTTAACATAATATATAAATAAATTCTTTGAAAAAAATTCATACAGTAACATAAAATAAGGTACCTTTAACTACTTCCTGAAATGTGGTCCCGCCCTGATCCACTCATCAGGTGAAGAACATTTGAGTTGTTTCCAAATTTTGGCAATTATGAGTAGAGTTGCTATAAACATTGACTTCCAGGTTTTTGGGTAAATACACAGGAGTGGGATTGCTATTAGAAAACATCTTTTTTTAATGCTGCATTGTACTTCAGGACTTGAATATATATGAAGATATATTTATTCATTCAATCAACAAATATTAAATATTTATACTATGTTAGGCAATAAGAATATAGTGAACGTAGTATTGGTCGGTGTTGGACCCAATCCTCCTAGAATTTGTTTTTAATCGAAATCCTATTAATAGACATTGAAGTTATTTCCAATTTCCCTATCATAAACAATGTTTTAAAATTTCAGTTCAGTCATTACTGATCATCTGCTATCTGCCCAAAATTTTCCTAGGAGTTTTCAAGGAAAATAATGAGCAACTAGGCAATAGCCTTGGTTGGGAAAGTCACCTAACTCTAACCACTGAGCTCTAGCACTGGTTAAAGTTGGGGTGGGGGAGGGGAGGGGAGACTCTCGCCCTAGGCAGGTGTTGCAGATTAATTCTAGGTTAATGTAGAGAACCTGGGATTATCCTTCATTTTCCTAGGCCAGTGGTTTTCAAACTTTAGTGTACATCAGGACCACCTGGATGGTTGTGAAAACACATATTCCTGGATCCCACTTCTGATTCAGGGGGGGCTCAATCATTTGCATCTTTAACAAGTTCCCAGGTGAGGCTAATGCTGCTGGTCCCAGAAACATACCTTGAGAACAGCCCTCTGCTGTTTCTGGGGAGTTTCTTACTCTGATATCTAAAATTTGGATTCTCCTTCATCAGCAGTTAGGAATTCAGGGATCTAGAAGTAGCCATCCTTGAAGTTACTGGAGAAGTTATTGATGCAGAAGAAACTTTCTTGGGCAGAAGAAACTTTCCTGCGCCTCGAAGCTCCTCGCTAAGATCACCAGACAACTCCAGTTCCTCGCAGTTTATTTCTATTCCTCTTGAGCTACTACCTTCATGCAGGCTCTTCCCCGACTTGCACTGGTTGGCAGGGGATCTTGGCCTCTGGCACTCTCAGCACCACCGGTAGGCAGGGAGGGGCTTCCCTCATACTTGAAGAGTTCTTCTGGAACAATACCTTAATATCAAGTCCAGAGTTTCCTCATCTGGGTTAGAGAGGACTGGGTTTCTAGCTGCAGGAGCCTTGTGAAAGCAGCAGGCCACTCTCCTGAGACTTCAGAAGGGCTGGGAGGGGATAGGCTTACCCTGGACTTGTGTGTGTATGTGTGTGTATGGGGGGGCAGGGAGTGGATCTTGAGAAAATGAGCTAACTCTGGGAGTTGTGAGGGCCAGGTCCCCTAGGCAGAGGAGCCAGAGTTCTTAAAACTGCTGGTGAGTTTAAGAGAAGCCTTCTTGGTTTTCTCTCCTTAGCTAGTTTAGCGGGTGGGTTTAAATAAGTGATCTGTAGTTCATCCCCCTTATAGCAGGTTGAATGTAGTTTTACCATTCACTAGCTCCATCACTAAGGTTCTTAGCAAACTTCCTCATCTGTAAAATGACAATACCCCCATTCTTAGGGTTACTGTAGGGATTAATACAGTAACATGTAAGTTACCTCATTACTACAGTACTTAACACACAGTAGGCCCTTTATCTGATGGGAGCATGGGTCAGGAGTGAAGCTATGGTAGATCACGCTGTGGGACCTTCGGTGGACTCATCACAAAGTATGCCTGGTTCTTTTTGTACTTAGGAGTACTGGCATTACTCCCTCTGGAAAACGAGGCTAGCCTGCTTTGGGGGCCTGCCGTCAAGCATTCACAAGCATACACATGGAACCTAACTTAGCTGAGAGGGTAACAGTCACACCACACTAGCATTTAAAGACTTTACAGGATCAAGGATGGCCATTCACAGATGGGACTTTTAGAACTAGAAGAAATAGGGCTGATTCATTTCAACCATTCATTTTACTACCTTGGGAGGTTAAGCGACTGTCTCAGGCTCAGAAAGCATTGCAATGTTTGGAGTTCCTAGCTCTGAGCTGACCTTGTTTTCAGCTATTCCATGCTTTCTGGATCTTGACCCTGTTGCTCTACCCGTAAAGCACTTGCTCTAGTTCCCATTTTATTTCAGATTGCATACAGAATGAAAACGAGAAGTTGATGAGCACAGTTCTATGGCTCCAAGTTTTTGCTTAGAGAAGGGTTTTGGAAAAATAAGAATTTAAGGTCAATTTGGAACAGTGTGAGTATAGGGTGGCATGACAAAAGCATCAGAACCCATCTTTCTGCTTTGTCATTCCCAGATACTCTAAAAGCTTAATACTACTTAGAGGTTCACTATAAACATTATTGCATCCGTCTGATTTTAGCTTATTGGCAATTTAATACTTATGTTTATTTTCTAATTTTCTGTTTTAGTAGTCAGGAATCTTTTCTTGTTGTCTTAGGCATATCTCAGCAGTGAAAATAATTTTCCCCTGTGTCAGAAACTTAAAGAAAAAAATCAGAAGCCTAATTTAAAAGTCTGTAAAATGTAAACTTCAGATATGACACGGTATTTGTTTTACAAAGGAAGGTTTCTTTTTTATTTTTTTAAGCAAGTGTTTTTTATTTATTTTTAGAGGATGTGTGCTCCGTGTGGGGGGGGGGAGAGGGAGAGGGAGAGGGAGAGAGAGAATCCCAGGCAGACTCCCCACTTAGGGCAGAGCCCAACATGGGGCTTGATCACATGACCCTGAGATCATGACCTGAGCTAAAATCAAGAATCGGAAGTTGACCAACTGAGCCACCCAGGCACCCCTCTTTTTTTTAATAGGCGTTAAAAAAAACCCCAAAAACTCCACTAGCTGAAGAAAAGGTAAATAATTTCAGAATGGTGTGTACAGAGTGCACTCCCATCCCCCCACCCTCCTACTGTCTTCTCAGAGTTCCCACTGGTTTTTCTGAGAGAATCAAGAGCCCATCATGGAAATGAATCTCCATCACCAGAGCTTGACTCCCCACTTTCCTATCCCCCATACTTAGTAGAAGAGAAGATGGGTGGCAGTTGTTCCGTAGTATTCCAATTGTAAAGGAAGCATTTTCTCATTGAAATGATGTTAAAAGAGATGTATGGGTTTCCCTTAATGTGAATTAGACAAATTTCTGAGAGTTGGCCTGAAAAGCAAATAGCCATTTTAAGATTATTTCTATGAGAATCATATTTGTAGGTCCAAAAATTGGCTGACCATCAACAAACATTTGAAATACAGTCTGTCATAGGTTGGGAAATGGTGGGATATTTTTAAAAATTTGATTTATACAGATTCTTTCAAGTGTGTATTAAGCCACAACCATTCCTGGAGTTCCTGAACATCTGTTGTATTAATAAATGTAGCACTTATACTAATATATCACTTAAAGCTCAAATATAACTTGGGGGCTCATCATACTATTTGTTCTATTTTTGTATGTGTTCAAAATTTTTATAATAAAAAGATTAAAAAAAACCCCTTCAGATGTAAATTTCAAAATTCCCAAAGGATTAACCTAGGGGAAAACTGGGAGGCAATATAAAAACCCTTAATAAGAAGTAAAAACTTGAATTTTAAAAAAAAATTATTTTTTTTAAAAAGTTTAATTTTTTTTAAAGTTTAATTTTTAATTGCAACCATTATATAGACAGCAAACCAGCCATCAAAATGTTGAAAACATTTCAAATAATGGACCTATTTTAAAGCCTCCAAAATCTCACGTCACTGTTGTTTGTAATTAAGAATATCTTTTAAATGCCTACGTTAGGACATTTTTAAAAATCCACTGCAATTAATATAAAAAAGGAAAATTAAATTCAGATTTTAGCATCTCTTTTAACCACATTTATCTCTTTAAAATGTAGCTTAATACAAATCTATTAGACTTCCTAAGATATAATTAAATTCAGAGTTAAAACATTTACTCTTTAGATATCTATAGTTAACCAATAAATTTTCTGTAATATCCTTTCATATCTTTTATAAACAAAATATTTTAAAGACGTACAATGGCATGATGTAAAAGAGCAATAATTATAGTAGACAAAATAATAAATGAAATATGATATGCCTTCTGCTATATACCTATGAGTTTTACAGAATAATCATTACCACAGATGTCCTTAGAGAACAAAAGAGAATGAGAAAGTATACAGGTTGAGGAAGGCGTGGAAGATATTTTCTGTTATCTTCTACTATGTGGTCTCTCACTGCACTATTCTTTAAATAAAAAAAGGGCTCCACAAGGGCAGGTCCTGTTTCAAATTCCCCTTACCCTTCTGACTAGAGAATAATGTGTTTGTGTAGGATATGATTACACCAGACAAGGCTGCGAACACATGTGACTTACTCAATGATTCTATTCTGCTTCCTTTTAAAGATAAAGAATGCATTTAAGTCGATTGTGTATGAGACTCTAGTAATTCCTTGGAAGACTCCATTCGAACAGAGAATAATATTACCCTATTTTCAAACATTAAGAACATAGCCATTTCTGGGGTTTTCATTTTCTTTCCAGAAACTATGAATTAATACTTTCATTTATTTTGAAAGAGAAAAATATGACACATGTAATTACTTCAAAATAGTTTTAATTTTTCTTTGGATAAACAAAACATCCCCATAAAATATTTACTTTAAAAAATGTTTATATACAAATAACTGTATAAGATAGAAAAAACGACTAAAAACACACAACCACCAACACAACCGCTCCTAACAGTAGGCCAGGTCAGGGTGCAGATCTCATGAAAACAAGCTGCTTACATTCCCAGAACCACAATCCTCTGGGTGGAATCTTGTCCTGTTTAACTCACTGGGTGGCGGAGCCCAGAGGAATTAACTCAAACTATGAAAATCCCAAAGCATGGTCACCTATGGGGAAATGAGGAGACAGATATGACTTGAGCATGGTAATTATTTTCTTGTAGTAAAAGTAAAGAAAACAACCTTACATGGTAAAGGTTTTGTGGGCTCCAACATCAACAGGTAGCTGATTGTACATATATTTACCAAACATAGCATTTGTTAGCTATGGTGGAAAACATACTATGTGTGCTTGCCATTTTGCTTTAAAATAATATTCTCCAGAGCACTCCCATTTATTGATTATAGATGCATGTAAGTGGTATTTAAAATAATAAAACATTACCAACATTTGAGGGTTTACTGTGTATCAGACATACTGTTCTAAGTACTTCATATGGTTTGTTTCACCTAATCCCCACAATAACCCTATGAGGTAAGAACTATTATTATTCCTACTTAACAAAGAGCTTAAGGCATAGGGAAGTTAAAGATCACACAAATAGAAAGCAGAACCAGGTGCCTTGTCTGCAGAGCTCTTGCTTTTAATTTAGCTCCAGTGCTATAATGTGAAATTGGATTTTAAACCCCATTATCACACAGAACTATTCTAAGATTGTAGATTCCGTTTCTTTGTGAACTTCCACCTCTTAATACCATTCTGACTCACTGTTTACCTTCTGCCTCCCGATTCACCTTCTGGTTTCACCTGCCTCCCTATACAACCTGGACCCCCAGTCATTTCAATTATACCCCAATTATACTCCTGCCCTGACCTCTCCTACTGAAGTCAAACCAAGGTGGTCGCCTGCACCAGCAATCTCTGTTACTACTACTGCTTCCCAGCAGTGAAACATCACAGCTGATTTAATCCAAGAAAAAGTCATGCTTCCTGTTGTGAAGAGGCCTTCACTGCTGCTCAGCAATCCTTTCTTTGACACTTCGCAGCATCCATAGCAGCTGTTCCCAACTTCTTCCAGGATTAAACCCCCAAGCACACCCACCTATTCCTTTGTAGATTATTTTACTATGGATTTACTTAAAATCCATCCAAAGTAGTGTTGCCAGATAAAATACAGGATGCCCAGTTAAATCTGAGTTTCAAATAAACAAACGATCATATTTTAGTATAAGTATGTCCCAAATATTGCATTATAGAAATATCTAAATGCCATTTAAAATAAAAATCCCCAGCAAACTATGTACTGAGACCCTACCAAATAGTGTACAGAATATACTTAATACTAAAAATGTATTCATTGTGTACCTGAATTTTACTGGGCATCTTGCATTTTAATTTGCTAAATCTAATCCAATCAAATTCCCTTACTTTTCATTCCCAGAAGCACCCTTCCTTTTTTTAAAGGTTAATTCTCTGAGCTATGGTACTGATCTTTCTCCTTGGTTCACTTTCTTTTTCATTCTACATATTCCTTCCATTCTACTTTCAAGCATACTCATGTCATCCCTACTACAGTATGAATGATCCCAATTCTATATCCCTCCATGAGCCCACCCATGCCCTTTGCTGTGTCACTTTGCAATTTCTCTACAAAGATAAATTCTATTTCCCACCCCTTGAATCTGAACTTAGCCACATAACCTGATCTGGTCAACAGAATGAAGCAGAAGTGCTGGTGTGTCAGTTTGGAGTCAAGGATTTAAGGGGCCTTGTATGTTTCTGCTTGTCCTCTTAAAATTCTTCTTCCATCTCCATGAGAAGGCTATGCCTAGGTAAGCCAGACAGGAGGAGGATGACATGTGAAATAGAGTCCAACATGGAACAAAGCTCCTGAGTAGGCTTGTAGATGCACAAGCAGCCCCCACTGAGATCAGCCAACCCTCAGACACGAGCTATAATAATAACTGCAGCCTTTTTTTTTTAAGATTTTATTTATTTGAGAGAGAGAGCAAGGGCGAGAGTGAGAAAGAGAGAGAGAGAGAGCGCCCAAGCAGGGGGAGTAGCGGGGGGGGGGGGGCAGGAGGCAGGCTCCCTGCTGAGCAGGGAGCCCGATGTGGGGCTCGATCCCAGGACCCTGAGATCATGACCTGAGCCAAAGGCAGATGCCAACTGAGCCACCCAGGCGCCCCAATAATAACTGCAGTCTTAAGCCACTGAGTTTTCCAGTGTTCGTTATGCAGCAAAAGCTAACTGAAATATCTACCCTGAAAAAGCTCTTCTTGACCTTACTATACTTACTTTCTTGCACTCCCAAACTGCTGCAAAAAGTACCGTTTATTTTTTTTTTGGCTGTGTTTTCTTACCACTTATTCTTGTTATCTGTATCACTTCTCTTAATTGACAGCAAAACCTCCTAATGGGCACTCCTATAGCTGTGACTCTGTCCTTATCTACCTTGGCCTCTGTATAGCACCTGACACTGTAGATCGCCTGATACCTGTTAAATTTCCCCCTCCCTGATTGTACTGCACTGGTCTCAATTTCTTTGATTGTTTCATCTATTTCAGGGGCTCATCTTCTCTCTTCTACTCTTGGAGTTTATTCATTCCCCCAATAGCAATTATCATATATTTGACTCACACATCTTTATCTCCACCCTAAATCTCCCTTCTAAGCTCTAGTTGGGTGGGTTCTCAAATTCAGTGTGCATTAGAATCACCCAGAGGGCATACTAATGTTCAGATTGTTAGGGCCCCACTGCTTGAGTTTCATATTCAGTAAGTCTGGAGTGAAGCCTGAGAATTTACATTATTAACAAGTTCTCAGGTGATGCTGATGCATAACTTTGAGAACCACTACTGTAGTTTCGTATTTCCTACTACCTAACAGTCTCTACTGGTTATCAAACATTGCACAAGTGATTCAAACACTGCATACAGGGTCAATTAGGGTGTTTTTGTTTGTTTGTTTTGTTTTTAATTGTAAGCCCTAGGAACCAATTTGGGCTAGCTAAAGCAAAACCAAGAATTTATTAGGGAGCTCGCAGAATCAATGTGAAGGCTGGTGAACCATGCTCCAAATAAGGAAAACAGAAAACAGACTACTTGATAATAGGAGCATTACCTCTAAATCTGAAAAAGTAAACAGTGTTTCTTGTGTTCCTGAGTCCCTCTGTTCAAGATTCAATTCCAAGGATGCCTGGGTGGCTCTGTCAGTTGAGTGTCCCACTCTTCATTTCGGCTGGGGTCATGATTTCAGGGTCCTGGGATCAAGCTGGGTGTCCGGCTCCATGCTCAGCGAGGAGTCTGCTCTGGATTCTCTCTCCCTCTCCTTCTGTCCTTCCCCCCACTTACTCACTCTCTCTCTCTCAAAAAAAAAAAAAAAAAAAAAGATTCAATTCCAAATGAGAGTCCCCTACCCATTCTTTAGTTGAGGGCAGGGATAGAAAGGACTATAGTGGAAGCAGCCACCAATGATTGTTCTTCTTTCATACGGTCTTCGTTCAGGCCCTCACAATCAAGCAGGTGGATTACTACAACAACCTCTTAACCGGTTTTCTTGCCCCTAATCTAACCTCCAATTCATTCTCCACATACTCTTCAGTTATCTCTTTAAAACACATGTCATTTTCTTCTTTGCCTTGTCTGGTAGTGTACCTGTCTTATCTTGTTTTAAGTAATAAATTGCTTTTCTTTATGTGCAAGTGGATGGGATACCTTCGCCTTAACAGACTCATAAAATGGAAAAGTAGTTTTATAAGGTAGGAAATACATCTCATTGTTAAATCAGGACCTAATCCTTAGTAATCAGGCAAAGGTCAGAACTGGTCCCAAAATAGAGACCCCTCTAGGAGTCTTTAAGAGATCAATGTCTCACTAGATTGAAAACGCCGCATGACAAGGACCTAGTCCTCATTGCATCACTAGCACCTTGCTCATAGCAGGCACTTAATGAAATGAATAAAGTCTTCATCCCCAGGCCTTCCCTACCTTAGATTACTGTAATAGACTCCTAACTGATTTCCTGGTCTGCAGTCTCTGCTGCCTATCTCCTCACTACCAACTCCTTCCTGTATACCACTGTTAAATCAAGCCAGTTATCATTTCCTGCTCAAAACCTTCTGACTCCCCAGTATATGTTTGCCAATTCTAAATTCTCCGTACTCAAAGCCTTCAATAATCTGGTTCCAACCAGTTTTTTAAGGCTTTCTTCCATTTCTACTTATACTGTCAACCAATCTAGGTAAGATTTTTAAATATAACTTACTTTTTCTGTTCCTATTGCTTTGGTTCTACTTTTTGGAATGCCTTTCTCCCATGGTGTTTATCCTACCCTACCTTCAAGTTTGTTAACTTAACCTGTCAGTATTCTCAATTTATTTAAATCCGTGGCCCACCATCCCAGCCAGGTTCTTTTGGTCATGTCCCCTTGTACCCTATATCCCTAACTTCGTGGTTAGACATCTTTCTGTTTGAAGCTTTTGGGTGCCTGGGTGGCTCAGTCAGTTAAGGGTCTGACTCTTGATCTCAGCTTAGGTCTTGAGTTCAGGTCTTGATCTCAGGGTTGTGAGTTCAAGCCTCCCATTGGGTTCCATGCTGGGCATGGAGCCTACTGAAAGAAGAAAAAAGAAAAGAAAAGAAGAAAAGAAATCTATTTGAAGTTTTTGTTAATTGATGTCTTGCATTTATACATATTTCATAAGAGTTGAACACATACTATCTTAAATTATCACTATATACTTGTTTATTTGTCCCACCAGATTTTAAGAGCTTTCTATCACTTATTAATCTTCTATATTCCTCCAGAAACTACTCTGGTGGTTTACACATAGTACTGATGAATGAAATCTGTTGAACAGATGAATAAATGGATGTTTATAATATGAGGTTAGTCTTTGGGACTGGTCTCCTCGAGGCAGCAGCCAGTGGCTGTGCTAGTAATTCCAGAACTGCTAGAATCAAAGGGTTTAAATCTTGGCAGCTTGGAAGTAGAAGGTGAGTCTAAACCAAGATGATTAGATTGAGCACAGAGGCCAGTGCCAAGAAGCCAAAAATAAGCATCAAGTAAAAAGATCCAAAGCCCAAACCTGAGACGAAGTGTAGAACAAAGGGTTTGGAATCAGGCAAAGACACAGTAGAAGCAACAGTAGCTTAATAATAGGTTGATGGGGATCTGGAATGGTGGACTTCTTTTAGGGGCTTGTGCATACCATTTCCAGGATCAAAATGAGTGGTTTATTAGTAAAACAGAGTTGCCTAAGAGTCAGAAGTTGGGTGGGCAGCAAAGAAATACATGGAAATAAATTTATAACAGCAAATATAGTGAAATATAAATAGACCTGCTTTGAGAGGTAGATTTCATTTGAGTTCCATTTTCTTATGCTCTGCCATCTTAATTTGTTTCACATATTTGCATAAATTCACATCCAAGTTCTAATGCAGTTTTTTGATTCCTCCATATTATGGATAAAGAAAAACATATTTTAAGAGAGATAATATCATAGTACCCAAACCAAACACAAAAACTCAGAATTTGGTTTTGCTATATTTTTTAGACTTTCAAACTACCAATCAATAAAGCTACAATAAGAACACTATACCTAATAACCACTGATTTTTTTTTTCTACATTAACTGTTTATAGACCAGAAAATTCTAAGAATTTTTTACAAGGGTTTTTTTGCCTTTTTTTTTTTTTTTTTAACTTAAAACAGGGGCACCTGGGTGGCTTAGTCAGTTAAGCATCCAACTCTTGATTTCAGCTCAGGTCATGATCTCAGGGTCGTGAGACTGGCCCGTGTCAGGGCCCACTATGGGCTTCCCGCTCAAGAGCACAGAGTCTGCTTGTCCCTCTCCCTCTGCTCCTCCCCCGGCTTGCACATGCGCACACTGCATGCATGTTCTCTCGCTCTCTTGCTCTCTCAAATAAATAAAATCTTTTAAAAAAATAAAAAACTTAAGATGTAAAACAAAAAAAATCCTATTTATATAAAATGCATATTTTATTATTGAGAGCGCTACAAAGTTTAATTCCTACAGCTACCTTTCCCTATAAAGCATTTGTTTGCTTTCAGTCTGTAAGGTTGGGTTAAGCAGCTCTCTGCCACACACAGTATTTCCTTGTACTAATTAGCAGCAAGCATTGTGGCAAAGACTAATGTCCACATGAAAAGCACAGCAAAATTCACTTTAAATCCTATTGTAAATGTGCAATAGTCCTTTGCATGATTTGTACAATAAATTTTGTTATTTTGAATTAAATGATGAATAAAGTACACTTTTCAAGCCTATATTATTCTTCCTGATATTACTGAGAGGAGGATAAACTCCCATATTAGTTCCTTGGAAAGTTAATATATTTTGGCAGGCAACATAAAAGAATAGGAAGATCACTTATCAAGGAGCTAGGTGACCTTGATCCTACCTATTCTATGGGGTCTTAGGTAAGTTATGTATTCTTTCTAAGTCTCACTATCCTTATCATAAAACATAAAGACTTGAATTATTTCAGTGGTTCTTGCAAGGAAGACTGCACCGGGATTGCCTGTGGACATTTTATTTTGACTTGGTAGATGTGAGAAGGGAGGGCCTGGGTAACTGCAGCTTTACACTTCAGAAGTGATTCTGATGCATAGTACTGGTTAAAAACCAATGGTCTAAATAATTTCTTGAGTCTTTTGCAATTCTAAAAGTCTACTTTTTATATCCAATCAATGGAATTTTAATAGCTTCTAGCTTTCATCATTAGTCTCTTCTTGTAATGAATAAATGTATTTTAGGAAATAGGGAAGCTGCTTCTAAATTATGAATAGCTTACAGGTACTGAGTGCTCACCAGTTCTAAGGCATTAACTCATTTAATACATGTAATTCAATCCTCACAACAACACTGAGGTGGGTACTAGTATTATCATCTATATATCACAGATGGGAAAACTGAGGCACAGAGAGTAATTTTCCCAAAGTTACAGAGCAGGTAAGTAGGGAAACTGGGTATAGAGCCTACACTCTTCACCAGTATGCTACTGCCATTCAATATAAAGGACCTACACCCGCAAACAGCACCCTGCACTTCTCCCTACCCAAGTAGCACTGCTTTCTCTGTTACTTTAGGAAAAAAGAAGCGTCTGGTTTTAGAAAATTTGTAGAATCTGAAATCTGGAAGGGGGAAGTTGGGAAAGGCAAGAATGAAATGACTCAAGGGAGGTGAGCCTAAGTCCCCAGACCCTGAGTTACAACAACTAGAGACTACTTAGATTCACAAAAGCCTTGCTAAAAAGGGTAATCATCCCTACAAGTGATTTGCCTTCAGTTCTCACTTCATTCCATAATGTCTGAGACATGTTCTTTTTGACTGACCAAATATTAATTTAAAAAACATTAGAAATTTACTTTATTGGGTGAACTAGACCCAAAACGATAAAGTTAAAACAGGAAAGTAGGCACAAAAGCTATGTTAGAGACTCAGAGAGAGGGTAATGACATTTGAAATTATTCAGCCTACTACTAATTTTGGGTATACAAAGGAGAATTTATAACAAGTGTACCCTGGCATATGGAGTAGAGTCTAGAGCAATATAAGGATAACTAACCTTCCCTTCCCAACAATATGGACAGAGTGACCTAACGGGTCTGTGGTCCTGATTGGACAATGTGAAATGCCAACCTACACAGCAGTGCTATTTTTTCTAACTGGGTGCACTCAGCAATCTGGGTACAGGTACCCAGTTAGAGCTGGTGTTTTGCCAGGTTAGTGACAGCAGGGCAAGCAGGGAAAAGGTGATGTGGTTCTGGCAAGAGAGTGGTAAATAATTTAAAATACAATGCAGCAAAAGATCAAAGGAAGTAAAGGCAGGAGAAGGATGATAGGGAGAAAAAACAGAAGTCTGGATTGGAGGTCGCACGTCAGAGAAGGACGAGAGACTGACATAGAGGAAGAGCACTGGAGACATCAGGGAACTGAGAATGATGTACTGGGAGGAACTGAGGGAGAGAGCTGGGATGCATGTTGTGGCCAGAGAATGTGAAGTCTGCAGTTAGAGGTGAAACAGATTGGGTGTATGACAGGATCCCAGGTATGGCAACAGAAACGAGCAGCCCAAGATCAGTGGGGATGAGATGTCAAGGAACTTCGAGGGTGGTATTCTGTCTACGTTGGTGATGGATTCACTCAGGATAAGGGTAGCAGTAAGGAAAACAGGAAGACTGTAAGCCATGTGTCAGTCTTTAATAATTTAAGTCTTGAAAGACTTAAAGATTATTTATTTATTTATTTATTTATTTATTTATTTATTTATTTGACACAGAGAGAGAGATCACAAGTAGGCAGACAGGCAGGCAGAGGGAGAGGGAGAAGCAGGCTTCCCACTGAGCAGGGAGCCCGATGTGGGGCTCGATCCCAGGACCCCGAGACCATGACCCGAGCTGAAGACAGATGCCCAACCGACTGAGCCACCCAGGCGCCCCTCCCTTCATTCTTAAGACTCATCTTTGTTCCACTTTTTTGACTTGGTAAGAACCTGTGTTTCATATTTTCAACTTAGGGCTAGCTTAGTATTTTGCTAACGTTGAATAGGTAATGAAATTATTGCTAATTCAGGCAAGAAAAATCTCAGCTCCCCACTCTCATAAATTGCTAAAAATAAATGTTTAAAAAATAAATTACAACTCAGTTGCCCCAGTTCTGATTTGAAAACATCTGGTGAGACCCTGGGTACAGGTTCCCACTACTTTTTTTTTTTTTAAGTATAAAAAATACATGTACAAAGGTTTCTTATAATCTTGAAAGAACAGGGTGGCATGCTATTTACTGACAGGCTGACCTTTACACAAAGAACCTCCACCTTCAACAAGCTGAAATTATTGTTACTGATGCCTTGAGAATATCATTGCCTCAGAAAGCAGCATGTTTTGTCCAAGTCACACAGAAGTAGCTAGATAGACACCATTTGGTCACCAAATGGTGCAATGTAGAGGGCAGGGGAAAATTATTTCTACATACCAACCATATGCCTGATACTGTGCAAGGAAGGAAAGGAAATGTCAAATATGATTCCTTATGTCAAGAAGATTACAATTTATTGGTTAATTACATAATACTTGAGCCCAGAGCCATGTCTTACATTTTTAAAAAAATTACAGCATCTAACATAGGACTTTATAGATATCAATAAGAAGTTAATAACAAATTAAAACAATACAAAATGTTTAGAACTAAGTAATAAAACACACATTTAACATAGGTGACTGAGAGAAGAGGTAACAGTTGAGCTAGTGTCATTGTAATCCATGAAAAAATCTTGTTCCTATTCTGTTTTGAGCAGGTACTGACACAGGAAGGTCCCTATTCCTATTTATTGAAATCTTTAGGGAAGAAAGAAACTGGGTCAGCTTTTCCTACAGGTAGAAATTGGAAGGTCAGGCTTATCCTATGCTGGGGCATCAGGAGTGGCTGAGTCCTTACTTGCATCTTTTCCCAGATGGCCAAGGAAACTAGCCTTGAGCAATAGCTCTTTTAAGTATGCAAAACTATTGACCAACCTGTTATTGAAACCCTTTCCCTCTTGGATTCTTTGATCTTATATTGATATCCTTTCATTCATTTATCAAAAAATTATTGAGCACCTACTATATACCAGTAATCTGTTCCTATCTTTTTACTTTTGATTTCTTTACTACTCTTCATTCTCTACCCTATCACTCCCAATCATCTTTACTCAGCCCTCAGCTCTATTCTTCTCTCTCTCTCTCTCTATATATATTTCTATACACCTATATATATTTGTATATATATATATATATATATAATCTTATCCTTCAAAAAAGTACATCAGTCCGCTGAGGTTCATGTAGCCTTTAGGCTAGTATCTCCCAACCAGCATATCCTACACATACAGATAGGAGGTTACAGTGTCTGTAAGGTCTTAAACTTCCTGCTATTGCTATGCCTCATTGATCATCCCTTCTCAGTCTTTCCTGCCGGCACCTCTTCCTCTAGGGAGTATTAGGTTTTGAAAATTTGTCTTTTCTTGAATCTGTCTTTTCACTCTACATTCTTACAATTTCAGCTCCCTCTCCCTATCAATCTCCAAGCTTAAGTTTAATTTCTTTCTATTCTTGCTCTTTCTATACTTCAGGTCTTCACGGAGTCTGTTGCCCTAACTTTAGATAATTCCACTTCTTCCTTAAATTTTAAAGTCTATTCCTTAAGAAGTCTTTGTTCCTTTCCCTAAACTAGGTTAGACAGCTCTGCCATGTGACATTACTGCACCCTGTCCTTTTCTTTTGAAGTATTCATCATCTCATATGATCAGTTTAATGGCTGTCTTGTCCAACAGACCAGGGGTAAACAATAGCCCATGGGTCAAATCCAGCCCCACTGCAGTTCTATTGGAACCTAAACACACTCTCTTATTTATGATTGTTGATGATTGCTTTTGCATTTCAATGGCAAAGTTGAGTAGTTGTGAGAGGCCATATAGCCTGAAAACCCCAAATATTTATTATCTGTCCCCCTAGTTTGCCAAATGCTGCATTAGACTATAAGCACCATGAAGACTGAAATCACGCCTGGTGTTCTCATTTCTAATATTCCCAGCACCTAGAGTAATGCCTGACCCGTAAGTATTTCTGGACTAATTGTATTTCAATCTCAAGCTTTAACCCATCTTGTCAGTGAAACAAATGAGATCACATTAATTGGGCTGTGTTTATAACGTTATAATCACTGCTTATCCAGATAGTGATTGTAGTATTCTAGTCCAAGGGGGAAATAGAATTAACCAAGTAATAAACAAATGAATAGATTATTACAACCAGAGGTAAGTGCTATGGAAAAAAGGAACACTGTACAATTAGAATATGTAACAGAAAACCATAATCAAATATAAAGTTTGGGAAGACTTCCCGGAGGAAGTGGTCTTTGACCTGAAATCTAAAGAGTGAATTAAGTGGGCAAATGAGGTGGAGAGAAGGAACATGGCATGTCCCAGGAATTGATGCTCTTGTCAAATAATAAACTATAAAGTAAGTTCCTTGAAAAGTTAAGGGTAGGATCCAAAATGGAGCAAATGCTCAGTGGGATATTTATTATAATGTAAAATTTAAAACACTCTATTGTCGGCCTACTGTGGGAAAGTGGTAAACTGCCGTATGTCCATAGCACAGTATATTCTGCATCTATTAAAATAATGGGTATGAAAAATTTTGATTTGTATGGAAAATGCTTCTATAATGTAAAGTAAAAAAAGTGGGACATTGCTTCCACTAAGTAATATATTCATAGAAAAATGTTCTAGAAGAAAAATGGACTAAAATGTTAATTATAACTGCCTCTGGGTGGGACTGAATATATTTTCTTTATGGTTTTCCGTATTTCCTATGCTATGCATTTAAAACCTTTAAGACTGGAAAAATACATTTTACTGAGAAAATAAATGTAAGTGTTGATTTGTATCTACACATTTGAGGATAGTCTTTCCTGAACCCTGGAATGAGGATATAAAATGAGGATCAAAACTCAGGAGAGTTCACTGTCAATAACAAAGATTATTAGTGGAAGTTTTCCTGGAATGTGATTTAAACTGTAGATATAAAAGTGCAGTGGGGACATTGGGGCCAGGGAATACTACCCTGAGATATGCTGCTCTATATGACACCTTGCTTCTGAGATTCCGTATCTTGATTATTTAAATTGGGAACTTAATCTAACCTTACTCCACGTGTGTTTGGTCTCTTCCCCTGCCTAGCCATAATCCATCAGAAATGCTCTGGTTTCAATTCTGGATATATAATTTAAATGAGGGTCCTGGAGAGCTCATGCATCAGCTCTAATATTACTTTATTCTGAAAGCTTCTCTTATTTTTTGTTCCTCAAACATCATCTTTAATTTATAGGCCCATTGGCCTTTCCCTTAAAACTATTACTGCTAATTTATGGAAGTGGGTGAGTTGAGAGTTGTTTTTAAAAAGTTTTGCTTCTTCCTGTAACTGAAATAAAAAGATAAGAACAGAAATTCTCACCACAATGATTGATTTGACTTCCCTTTAGTTTTAAAAAAAGAAATAAAACCCCATTCTTTTGGTTAAAATATACTTAATCATCATTCAGGCAATACATATTTGTGTACCTATCTTACACCCAGGCAGGTGCTATGAATCCATGGGGGGAAACCTGCATGAAGTCTTTTGAGAGTGCATAGTTGATAGCAATTGCTTCCAGAGTTCACCATATAGGGCTTCCAAATCCCTTGGGGGAGGGGTGGGGTGGGGAATGAGTTTCTTTTCCATCATGGTTTCATAGAGGCAACACAGTGGATGAAGGGCTGAGTAAAAATTTCCTTTGGACTAGATCAGGGCTTTTCAGCCTTGGCACTATTGACATTTTGGGTCAGATAATTCTCTCTGTTATGGGGGCTGTCCTATGCATTATAAGATATTTAGCTGCATTCCTGGATTCTTACCTACTTGATATAGGTAGCAGTCCTTCAGATGTGATAATCAAAAATGTCTCCAGACATTTTACCAAATGTCCCCTGGGGGTGGTTAAGACAAATAATTTACCTTGACTTCCACTGAATTTACTAGAAAACAAACAAAAGCAACCAAATAATTAAATAAGAAAGAAAATACAGGGGCGCCTGGGTGGCTCAGTCGGTTAAGCGTCTGCCTTCTGCTCAGGTCATGATTCCAGTGTCTGGGGATTGAGCCCCGCATCGGGTTCCCTGCTCTGCGGGAGGCCTGCTTCTCCCTCTCCCACTCCCCCTGCTTGTGTTCCCTCTCTCGCTGTGCCTCTCTCTGTCAAATAAATAAATAAAATCTTAAAAAAAAAAAAGGAAAGAAAATACAAATTTTGCCAGATCACTATGCCCTTCTGCTTATTCCCTAGATTAGAAATAAATGGAAAGACACTGACAGGACAGTCCATTTCCTACAACAGAAATGACTAGCATATAGACCCTACTCAGAAGATTCTCTACAGTAAAGAAGTAAAAGTAATAGATCTGGAGTTAGAAGGCTTAGGTTCTTGCTAAATAGCTTCACTTCTTTGGGCCTCAGTTTCCTGATCTATAAAACGGAGGTGTAGCGGGAAAGCAGTAGTGAGGTTTGTAAATAGATCTTTTAATTTTTTAATTCAATAAACATTGAAGATATAGTCTAGCCACTATACATGGGGCTAGTATATAAAAGATAAAAAGACAGGGTCCTTTCCTTCAAGGAGATTATATTCTATTACAATGACAAACTACAACTACAATAATCTAAGAGTTATAATAGAAGCATGTACCAAAAAAAGTGGGAGCCTGGAAAGAACACCTAAATTTGTTTGGGGAAGTCAGGGAGACTTTTACAAGGGAAATGGCATTTTAACTAAAACTTGAAAGATGAATAAAAATTTTGGCAGGAGACAAGAAGAGGGAAGATATTCCAGTTAGAAAGGCAAAGGCAGAGAAATCTGATGCTTAAAAAAAAAAAAAAAAAGGTATATTTAAGGAACTGTAAGTACTCCAGTGGTGCTAAAGGATATATAAAAAAGGTGAAATGACTATTATATTGTAGTTGATAATTTAAAATTTATGTGATAGACCACCCTTGTCGTGGTGTAGAAAGTAAGTATGGAGGGGAATGAACCAAGAGGCCAATAAGTGACTACTGCAATAGTCTACCTAAAGGTAGTGAAAGCCTACAGAAGGTCAATTATGTGGGCAGGAATGGGGAATATTCAGAGAGAGAATGGGCAAGGCTTCAAGTCAGAATGTTGGAGCAATTATATAGCTAAGACTTACTGAGCACTCTCTGTATGTGTGCAATAGTTCATTTAATTCATATAATAAGCCTAATAGGGATGGAAAACAGTCCAATTTGCTAAAAATTAATTTGCCAAAGAATTAGGTAGTTAAATTTACCAAATACTTGTTTTATAGAAAATCCACCTTAAATTTATTTAACAAACATATTCTCTGGTAAAATTACTTTTTACTGAATTGGCTTTTGGTAGAATGACTTACAGCCTAAGATAATATACACTTATCCTCATTTTGTTGAGGAAAAAACTGAGGTTCAGCATTAGCAAAGGCAAGGCCAGGTCTATAGAGCTAGAGCTTTTAATCTCTACATAGCTAATACCAGTGTAGGGATAAAGAAAACAAATGATCTAGAATATCTTGTTTCAGCTCTAATGTGTTATGATGTTAATATACTTAAATCAAGAACCAAAACTTAAAAAAGAGAGATACAATGAAACTAAGTTCAAAATCTATTAAGAGTACCACAGCTTTTTATGGCGACTTCCTCAATTTTTCTTGAGGGCATTTTAAATTTTTCTCCCTTCAGCCAATTGATGAAGATAATGACAGTGAGATAGTTCTCTTTACTTTCCTGTAGTTCTCTACTTTTTTTCTTAACTACCAGAAATTGCCATCTATCTGGAGTCAACTGCCATTTATATCCATGTGACACATAAAACCCACTGATAACTTTTAAACTTTCATCCCAAATATTTATTTCATCACAATGCAGATAGTAGTATTTTTCTGACAATGGGAAAAAGGTCACCATAATTTTGTTCTCTCCGGTATGAGACTTCTGAAATCTTTTAAACTCAACTCTATTTTTCCCTGAGAATCACTAGCAAAAACCTTGCTTGGATCTGTAATGACCATGGTTCCCAGCCGGAGACAGTGGAGTGCACTCCAGAAGTTCAGTGGAGAGTAGTAACTCCTCTTGGGGGGGCATTTTTGTCAGAGTTGCATGTAGTGCCCAGGGGCCAGGGATGTTAAATATGCTGTACAATGTAGACTTGTTTCACCTAACACATCAGAAGCCCTTGAGAAACACTGAGCTCAGGGTCAACTTCATGGGCATGCAAACTGTGCAGTTCTACAGGGCACAGTGCTTGGTTTAGTGTTCTGCAGTCACCATTTTAAAAATCTTCACACTTTTATGTTTGAACGTCTGTTTTATAAATGAAGTCCGGTGGTACAATGGATCTTACATTCAAGCAGAGGAGGCAATGTGTGCATCTTTTCTTTCTTGCCACCCTCTTTGCATATAGTCTTCATGATGTGTCATAAACACAGGATTCTGATGGATCTACGGATCTAGGAACTCAAGGAGTCACAGTGATGAGACAAGGCAAGCATATTACATCAATGGTTGATTTAGTGGACCATTCCAAAAGGCTACACTCTCCATTTGAACCAGAACTTGCTTCAGATGCAAAAGGAAAGCAATGGCATCCTAAAAAATACAAGTGACAGAAGAACCCCATCATACCTTTCTTACTAGTGTGCATTACTTCCCCGTATTACCATTTATACTGAAAATGATGACAGAGAAGGAAGGGGAAAGGTAAGGCAACCCATGGTTCCCTTCCCTTTCAGTCCTTCCATACTCAAATTGGTAGGATGTGTGCATATCAAGAAGGGAAATAAAAACAGTTGAGTTGGTTCTGTGTAGCATTTACACTGTTCTGATAAGCACAAAATGCATATGCATGTATAAACTAGGAAATATGAATTGTGTAATTTTGGTGATTCTATGTATGAGTTAAATGCTTTTATATTTGCATTTATAAATGGCATTGCACAAAATAAAGATGAATGGTAAAATTCATTCTAATAATTTAAAATTCTAATTTTTCTTTACTTAGAATGACATTAAAAAGCAAATAAAAAACATCATTACAAGTCAAGGGAGGAATGACAGAAGAAAGAAAAAGCTTTATATTTTAGTAAGTATAATGGTACTTTTTTCTTCCTTTTTGAACAAGGGGCCCCACATTTTTCATTTTGCTCTGGGCTCAGCAAATTATGTAGCTGGCCGTGACTGAGCTAGTTTAAGCAGAAAGGGATTAAAGGACAGTATTTAGTTCACAGTTCTCTGAGAGAACCAGGCTTGGATAATACATTGCTATAAACAACACCCAGGAAAAACTAAACCAGAAAGAACACTCATCCCACATCACAGGGCTATTCTAGTGGAAACTCATCCCAACACCACCTGCCGGTCAGCACCTATACTCTAAAAATGGATGCGAGAACTCTTCCCCAGCTACCCAGAAGAACCAAGTATCTCCACCATGGTGTTTGCCGGAAAATCCCATCTCCCTGAGTGTGGCTGAGGCATCATGTTGTTCACCTTCACACATATGTCTTGAATGGGTGCATCTGATTGCTGGAAACGAGGTCAAATGTACTGATATGCTGAAGCTAGCTGCTGATTGTTAGCATCTTTTCCAACTAATTCCACATTCAGTGAAGTCATTTTGGTAGCTTGGGAGTAATCACACCCCAAAGATTGGCCAAAGCTACAAATCAGAGTTTTTCCCTTCCCCAGCCATTAGTAAACATTTACCAGCACACCATCATCTAGCTGCAAGCAGCACTCTAGCTGCAAGGGAGTCTAGAAACTGTAGTTTTTAATTTTCTAGCTTCTAAAGTGCAGAAAATTAAGCTAAAAGGGGGCTGGATGAGTGTTGGGTAAGCCATCTTATAAAACCTGCTGAAAGATTATGGTAGCCATTGCCTTCTGTTCTAGATTATAAATTGCTAATAGGCAAATACTGACAGACATACAACAGTATTGGTACAGAAGGTTTGGCAGGTTTTTACTAAAAGCATGACATGATGAGTATAGGTCAGGGGACTAGAAGAGATAAATGTCAGTTGAGATGACTAAAATACATTTTTATGATGCTAGACTATAAACTTTGTAAGTAAGAGCAGGGACCATGTCTGTTTTGTCTCACTGTATCTCAAATCACCCAGCAAACAGAAGCCACTCAACAGTAACAACAATACAAAAAGAAATACTTAAGGATAGAGAGAGTTCAATTTTGGCATTTCTCTTATTCTGTGTAGATAAGACAATTCCAAATGATTTTGTTTACTCCCTTTAGATGAGTTAAACCTCTGGATGTCAATAGTTCATGATGATACTTTCACATATGTTATCTCATTTGAGTCTGTACCATTCCTGAGAAGTTAAAACAGGAATTACTATCCATTTCATAGATGAGGAAACAAACTCCAAAAAGTGATCTTTCCAAACTCATTCAGCTAGTAAATGATGGTTTAAAATTTTCATTTCCCGACTTAAAATTCCAGAACTCTTTCTTACTCACACATTGGATAGTGATTAATTAGGGAAGTATTCTCAGGTTTTCAATTCAAGCATCAGCTTAAACTCAATTACATGCAATGGACAAAACATCCTAATTTCATGCTGCAAATGTTTTTCTTCAAGAGTGAACATTCTTTCCTTGGCGTTTTGGAAAGACTTGAATTGTGGTTGCAATTGCCTTTTCTTAGTCAATGATGTTGATTCAAGAGATAGGGGGAAGGAAACCCTTTTCTAGAAATAGTTAATGCATGAATTTGATACTTTTACCTTTTTCTAGTTAGGAATAGTATAATTTAAATATTATGGATGTACTTGAATATAGTACAGGCACTCTCGATTTTATATTACTTTAGAATCATGAGTAGTGGGTGAGGTTGCTAAGACAGATTTCCAGGCCTCATCCCTAAAGATGTGACTTAGTAAGAGCCAAAATATTAAATTTTTTTAATTAAATATTTTATTTATTTATTCATGAGAGTCAGAGAGAGAGAGAGAGAGAGAGGCAGAGGCAGAGGGAGAAGCAGGCTCCCTGCCTAGCAGGAAGACCGATGCAGGACTCAATCCCAGGACCCTGGGATCATGACCTGAGCCGAAGGCAGACGTCCAACCATCTGAGCCACCCAGGCGCCCCCAAAATATTAAATTTTAAAACTCCAGTGCCATAGACTGTTATGAGAATCACTGGTGTCATGCATCTGACATTCAGCTTGTACAAAAATATTTATTTTACGAGAAAATGCATTTTAGCACAGTAATGCTATTTTTAAATCACTTCCATAGGCTTCTAAAACTTAAGAGATTTGCCTTTTAAAAATATTAGGTAATTTCCTGTATATTAGAAATCTTGCTACCTATGTTTATTATAATCATGCTCTGAGGTTGAAAACTGCAGACTAATTTACTGTAGTAATCAGCCTCAAATCCCTTGGAGCATAAATTCTTATTAGCATTATATGTTATGGAATTTATAGACAGCTTACCAGTGATCTGTCCCTTTGAACCTTTTGATTTTCCTATTTGAAGAACCAAAATGGTTCAAAATGAGGATCTTTCACAGCACTTAAAATACATGGCAACCTACTAACCATTAAAATACACCTGCATCATATGTAAGTGTGAATGATCTCTAATTAGGGCAGGCTGAAAATGAGTGTCAAAAGTCCTTTATTCAGTGTCATACTTCGAACTTGAAACCATGGTTTCTGCCTCCTACTGCTTAAATCTTTTTGTTGGGATGAAACCCTTCCGGTTTTGTTAAGTGAAACTCTCGTTCCACGGAGGAGAAAACTAAGGTCCAAAGAAACCAAATTATTTGTCCAAGGTCACACCCAGTATTAGTGACCAAGTCAGACAAAAACCCCTCGGTTCCAATATGATGGCCAACCCAGCTGCTTCTGTTCTTTTTTTTTTTTTTTTTCGATTTCATTAACTGCACCCCTGTCTATACCCCCCTTTTTGGATAAAGTTGTTTTGTTTAACAGTCCTTCCCTACCTCCTTTTGCTTTTATGCCTTTGGGTAGTAAAACCTTAAACAGATAGTTAATGAATAACACTGGGTGTCCACATCTAATGCGGTGACTTTCACGGGCCTTTTTCTTTGGCCGAACATTTCTCTGAAAGGCTCTTAATCCTGGATTCTGCCGGGGGAGGGAGAAGAGGAGGGAGGTCACTGAGCGCGGACAAGTCCTTACATGTACACGCGCGCGCCCGGAACGCAGCCTGCGGGGCCAAAGAGGAAACCAAGGAAGGATCTATTAGGGCGGGAGAAAAACACCGCGGTGGGAAATCCCTGAGCATCGGATCTGCCAACCCCTGGCAAAGCTAAGCAGAGCGGAGCGTGAACAAACCCCTTTAGGTGGCCAGGGGCAAACATCGCAGCACCGCGTAAAAGGATGGGGCGCGGCGGCTCCAGCCGCACCAGCGGGAGGGAGCGCCCGGGCGGCCCTTTTATAGGCCGGAGCCCGCGCTCGCGCGCCTCCGCCCCTCGCACCGCCCCCGGGCCACGCGCAAAGCCGCGGCGTTACCTGAGAAGGGCCGGCTGCATCCGCGCTCGGCCCCGCCCGTTCCGCCGCCCGCCCTCCCGCGAGGCCGCGGCGGCACGAGATCTGCGCCTTGCCTTCCTCCTCCCGCGGGCGGGTTTTCTTACCTTGTAAAAAGCTGTCTCCGCGGCTGCCCCCCGCCTCCTCCGCAGGATGTGAAATGGCGGTCGGCTAGGCGAGCGTGAGCACCGCAGCTCCCGCTTATCACGCCTCGCCGCCAAAACGGCCCCGAACACTTGTGGCCCCCCTCCCGCAAGCCCCTCGGAGCCCATCCATGACATCGGCGCTCCGCCGCCCCCCTCCGCTGCCCCCACCCAGGTGGCCGTGCCCACCAGCCGAGTCATCGATTCCCCGCGCCAGTCGTGGGCCCAGCTTTCCACCAGCTTCCTCCCTCGCTGCGAGCCCCGGGGGCGGGGGAGAAAACACCTTCTCGGCCCCCGCCCGGGTGTCCCGCTCGGGTGCCCGCCCCGCTCCCTCCCTTTCCCGCCGCGTCCCCTCCCCCAACTACTCACCGCCCTCCCTTCGCCACACACACAACCCCCTTCTCCCTTCCCCCAGTGGTTGCGTCCGTGACATCATCATCATGGCAACAAGAGCTGCAGCCTGGGACCGAGGAGCCCGTGTGATTCCCGGCGGCGGCGGCAGCGGCAGTGGCGGCAGCACCAGCACCGACGAAAGCGCCAGGGCTTCTCTCCTATTGCCCCTCGCCGGGTGCTCCTGAGGAGGCGGCGGCAGCAGTGCCAACACCGCCCCGCCCGCCGCCGCTGCTCACGGTTTCTGTGTGTGTGAGGGGAGGGGGCCGAGCCGAAGAGGGGAGGGGGCGCCGCCGCTGCTGTGGGGCCGTCGCCGCGGAAGGAGCCGCCGCCGCCGCCGCCGCTGCTGCTGCCGCCAGATCGCTCGTGAAGAGGAGGCGGTGGCGGCGGCGGCGAACATGTTTTCAGTGAGGATAGTGACTGCCGACTACTACATGGCCAGCCCGCTGCAGGGGCTGGATATCTGCCAATCCCCCCTCACCCAGGCCCCTGTCAAGAAGGTGCCGGTGGTGCGAGTCTTCGGAGCGACCCCAGCAGGTAAGCGGGCGCGGGGCGCGGGCTGGAGCCGGCCGGGCGCCGGGGCTGCCCTCCCCGCCGCGCGCACGCCGCCGGTCCTCGGTGTATCGCTGCCGCCGGTTCCCTTCCCTCCGCCCTTCTCGCCTTTCCCCCGGTGCGTGACAAGAGGCGCAAAAATGAGGGTCCGCGCGGGCGCTGCGCCGCCTCCTCCCCGGGGAGGGAGGCGGCGGGCGCCGAGTGTTTCCAGTGCGTGCGGCGGCCGGGAGCCGGATCCGGACTCCCTGTCTCGGGCCGGGGGGAAGCGGGCGCCCGCCAACAGCGCTCTGGCCCAGGAGGATGGGCCAGGTGACCGCGCCATGTCCTCCCTGAACGGGTTCACAGGGCCCCGCTCTGAGGTCTGTCGCTGGTGGGACTGCGGACACCCCCGTGCGTCTCCCAAGTGCCCTTTCTGGAAATGGCTGTAAGAGGAGTGAGGAAGTGTCAGCTCTCTGTATTCAGTCTCTCCTCGCCGCCTCTCGCCCGCGCTTTCCTCTGCCCCTTCCGGAGATGCCGCGGGCTGAAGAGTGGCGCCTGGGGCCAAATAATCTTTCGCATTGAAGTGACCATGTGGTTCTGCTGTGAGTGCAGGTCGTGACTCCTTAGAGTTTAAGCCTCAGAGTCTGGGGACTGGGCAGCATCCTCAGGTGCATTGCTTTGAGGGAAACGTGGATCCTTGCGAGTAGAAAATGCGTGTGTGCTGCCCAACGTAAAACATCCCATTCAATAACGTGAATTTCTTAAGAACCGCAGCTGAACTCAGCAACACAAACATTTAGAAATGCCCCTATGCTGAGTTGTGGTATTGCATTTTAAATACACGTATCTTTAAAGTAAAAACTGATGAACGAGTAGGGTGGGGAGACAGCAGTGACAGAAGCTACATTCTCAAAAGCTCTTAGGGGTTTGTGATAATATAAATAGGTAGTGGCCAGATTTACAAGGTTTTAAATTGTTGTGATTTTCGACATGCTTTGAACTACCTACGTGAAATAATGGAGCTGCCTCCTAGAAAGGGATGCTCTTACCTCTAGCTATGTATTGCCCTATGGGATTTTAGATAGCATTTCCCACTTGATGCTCCTTGCCCTAATCACTTCATCTTATTACTGTTTCTGTGGACTACCAAGATAACACTTTCTCAAATACAAGCACTCATTTTCAAGCAGTTTTCTTTTAATGTGAATTCTCTTTGTTAAAAATTTCAGTGTTGTTAGTGAGATTTGTATTCCTTTTTAAAATAATGAAAACGATTTTGATGCTAGGGACCTGATAAAATGGGGACTTTGAGTGCTGTTCATTTGGTGAAAGTATAACACCTGAAACTTTGGAGGCTGGAAAATAGAGGCAATGAAGTTCTGAAGGATAGATTTTCTGCCCTTTTAAATGTATTGGTGCTTTGTTTCTAATTGGAATTTCAGTGTAATATACTGTTTGTTCTCACTTCAAGTACAGAGGAAGAATAAGATAGTGACGTTTATATAGCTCTTTTCAGCCAGATTTCTGAATTATAAAGTGACATGCTAATAGGATATATTGTGGCATTTCTATGTATTAAAGTTTGTATGATTTGGATTACTTTTCTGCGCATAGTTGTTTGTTTTTTTCCCCCTCTACACAAGTCATTGTGTAGATATTGGATATCATCCAATATCCCTGGATGATTTTCAAGCTGTGTTATAGTAGTTTTGTTTGTGGAATAGGTGAATTTCACTGTGAGCTAGCAGTAATTCTATAACGTGAGAAAATACTCTTTAAAAGATAAAGATGATGAGGTACTTTTGTGTTTTTCAATATAAAAAAGACACAGGACTATTCGATGATAAATATTTTTTCCCTTCTGGACATCTTGCAATAGATTAACAGCCCCCCGTTAAAAAAAACTTCAAAAAATATACTTTGAAATGCATAATGTAAATGAATGTGGATGACTTTTTTACATATATCGAAGGATATAAAAGTTGATACAAAGAAACTGAAACTTAAAGTTAAGGAGTATCAAATTGAGTTTACTATAAGTATAGTTCTCCATTTTACACATAAAACTTCTGTTTCTTCAACAGGTGAAAAAATTTGAAGTCACTGGCATACATTTAGAGTTTATAGCCTTCAGAATCAAGCCAACATTTTCAACATGTTAGAAACTCCCAGTAAAATTAGTATTAATGAAACGTAAACAAAAACTGTACAATTATCTGCTCCTGAATTCTCTCCCCAAAGACATCTAGTCCAGTTCACCCATTAAAATAAAACCTGAAAATAATTAATATAAAAGGTCAATCTGACTTAGTAAAACTCTGAATGATAGAATTTTTAATGAAGACCGTTTTATTGTTTGGAAATACAAACTATGTTTATGTATTTACTAATTAGTAAAACAATGAAAAATAGTAACATAAATCTGTGTTACATAGAGTACCATAAATTTAAGCCTTTCATATAAATTTAAGCTTTTCACATATAGTAGTTAATTTTGGAAGCCCTTAATTATCTTGATTTGGAGAAAAGCTGTTTTTAAACTGAGTTTGCTTTATAAATGAGTCCTGAAAAATAAGCAGAAAAAATTGTTTCCCAAATAGGGCATTTTATATTTGTATTATAAATTCTGAACTGATTGGTTTCTTACATTTTTACTAGTTCAGTTTTTCTATTCAAAAAGGTATTTTTCTGCTTTAGAAAACAGTCCGGTTGACTTCTGATTGTCCTGTGTTTTGAGGGCATATCTTGAGTAATTTAAGAAATAAATTGTCTTAGGTTTAAAAGCTCTCCTATCTTGAGTTGGTGAAATTTGAAAAGGTATTAAAGAAAGTGGCATATTCAAATTTGAATGGTAAATCCTGACTCATTTAATCCCTTGCCGACTGAGGATATTGATTACTGAATCACTTAATTTTTCTTCATGTGAGTGATGGAATTATTTTTAAAACCAAAAAACCTCTTCTGCTTTTCTTCACTCCTTTAAAAATGTCTTGAACGTTGTTTTGATATAACAATGTATTGAGCAATGTAATAACGTTTCAGTAACTTGTTTTAATGGAGAGAAGCAAGGTTATAAATAACTAAAGCAGAGGGCTGTGTTTTTTCACTTAGATTTGAATACAGGTGTGACTGCTCTGGGAATTCACTTTAAATAAAATCCTGAGGCTTCATTGTGAAGACCTGACTCTGGTGGATCTGGGAACCTGTCCGGTTTCCACATCCCAACTCTTGCTTAGTTGCTTGATGTAACTCACTTCATGTTGAGTTTAGAAAGCTCTCAGTTTTCTCAGCACCAGGTTAAACAGAATTATCCTCTCAAAAAGCTTCCCTGCTGAGATGCAGAGTAGGAGTAAATAGAAGAGTGTGAGTGAGATGTTCACACAGCAAGTAATTAACAAAGTAGGCCAAACAGACTATAGAGGGAGCTGCTTGTCTTTAAGATTACTGTAAGGAACTCTGCCACTCCCCCCTCTAGTCTTCCTCCAGTAAAAATTTTAGTAGATTGTTCTAGATGCTAACTGTTAAACATGAAATCAAGTTTTTCAACATAAGAAATTGATCATTCTGAAATGCTATATAAATTTATGTAGTTGTTTAATAACCTCACTTCTTTTGTAAATTGGATTATTAACTAAGTTTGAGATGAATACAGTTTTGAAAAACCATAGCATTTATCAACAATTCAAATTACAACTAATTTCAACTAATTTCTCTAATAAAACTCTTGTTTGTTCATAGTCTTTTTTTTTTTGCTAAGCCACTTAAAAATATTTTAAGATCACATAATACCTATTTGATGTAATTACTAGAAAGGTTTTTCAGGAGCACTACTGAGATTTAGTGATTTACTACAAACAAAATTAATGACTTTATTTAGTAGGCATTTGGAGCCCTGAGTAGCAAATTTTGTTAGCTTTCTGTATTATATTTGATTTAAAATCACAATTAGTAAATCAGAGGATGAAGCAGGGCCCTCTTAAGTCTGGACACAGTAGAATCTGGTAATAGTGATTGGATACATTCAGTGAACACTTAATGAGAACCTGCTATGTATATTGAGCTATTTTTGGTGTCATTATGAACAACTTTTACCCTCTAGACTCTCACAATATTGTAGAGATGACATGGAAACATAAGTCAAACATAGTTTGATTGGAGTATGACGGAAAATGTGTTTAAGAAAGCAAAGACTCAAAGGAGGACATGTCAGTGACCAACTAGCAGGCAAAAAGGGGAGTCAGGGAAGGCTTCATGAAGGAAGTATGGATTAAGTCATTTTTAAGGAATATCCAAATTCTGATAGAGGAACAGATACAAGGTAATTCACAAAGAGAAAACTGCTCTCGGCAGGGCAGCTTGGCAAAACATATCATAATCCTTGAAATGTTTTTTGACCCAATAATTCTAGTTTTAGGGATTTTAAT